TTGTTTATATTTTTTGTTATTTGCTTTGCACTTTGCAAGGATTTAATGAACAGTTTATCACATACCTATCCTATGAAAAGGTGATTTATAGATAAATGAAATTAATCTGCCGTGCTAAGTAGTATTGACAGTTTGTAACTTCTATTGGGAACCTTGATCTGCTCATCTGTGATGGAATGACTTCCCTAAAGATGCTGTTGCTGTTATAGATTCTGGGCTTTATAATCCCCAAAATGGCCAGGTTCTGAAGAAGTACCATGAATGGATGTATGATAAAATGGAATGGGCTGGGGGAGAAGCTACTGCTCACTTTCAACAAGAAAATGTCAGTGTGGAACTGCATCTGGATGCATATCTACACACTGATACTTATGCACCATGGTTGAACATTGTGGCTGTTGAACTGGAAATGAGAATATTTCAGAATCTGATGCCTCAAAGCTTTTCTCTGGATAATGAATTTTAAAACAAGCATATGAGTTATTTATTATAATCTGGAAAAACGCATCTGTCTAGTTCTAAATTTATGGTCAATTAACTAAAGTACACTTGCCACTGCCTTAGCTGAACGTCTAAACACAATCTATAAGGTATCTTTCAGAACCAGCTCCCTACCCGATTTATGATCATTAGCCACAGTCATACCTATTTTTAAAAAGGGAGACCCTAGTCTAGTAGAAAATTACAGACCAATCTCTCTGTGTTGCATCACCTGTAAGTCATGGAATCGATTATAAACCAATCCATCACCCTTCACCCTCCACTTTCTAACAAGCAGTTTGGTTTCAGAAAAAATCTGTCCTGTAATCTGCAACTCCTACACTGAAGAAACATTTGGACCACACATCTTGACCAGGGTGAAGCAATAGACGTAATTTACATAGACGTTTGCAAAGCCTTTGATTCAGTGGTGCACGAAAAACTATTGCTGAAACTTAATTCTTACGGCATCTCCAGACCCCTGCACAAGTGGATAGCCACGTTCCTGTCAAACAGGCAGCAAATGGTCAAAATAGAGAGGGCCCTATCAAATCCAGCACCAGTTAATAGTGTCCCCCAAGGCACTGTCTTAGGATCCACACTCTTTCTGCTTTATATCAACGACCTATGTGATCACATTAAAAGCAACTGTATCCTCTTCGCCAAAGACATAAAATTATTTAACACCGACAATGCTGCTGTCCTACAAAGCGACCTAGACTATGTGTCAGAATGATCACGTAATTGGCAACTCTAAATTTCAACTAACAAATGCTCTGTCCTACACATTGGCAAAAAAAAATCAGAACACCAAATACAAGTTAGGTGGAAACGATCTCGCAGATGACCTTCACTCTGTCAAGAATCTAGGAATACTTATCTCAAATGATCTAAACCCCAGAGCTCACTGTAACAGCATTGCCAAAAAGGCATTAAGAGTTGTTAATCTAATTTTGTGAAGCTTCTTCTCCAGTAACATTGTACTGCAAACTAGGGCATACAAAACCTTTGCCAGACCAATTCTCGAATACAGCTTGTCTGCCTGGAATCCACTATATATCGGACATTAATACAATTGAGCGGGTCCAGAGATATTTCACGAGAAAAGTACTCCACTCCTCTTCTCACAATAGAATTCCTTATGCCACCAGGCTCAAAATTTTGGGCTTGGACAATCTGGAACTACACTGCCTGTGGTCCAATCTAAGCATAGTACAAAAAATTGTCTGCTACAACATCTTACCTGTCAATGACTTCTTCAGCTTCAACCTCAATAATACATGGCAAACAATTGATACAAACTCATGGTAAACTGCTGTAAACTTGATTGCAGAAAATACGTCTTCAGCAACAGAGTGGTCAATGCCTGGAATGCTCTACCTGACTCCGTTGTTATATCCTCAAACCCTCACAGCTTCAACCTTAAACTGTCTACCGTGGACCTCACCCCATTCCTAATAGGTCCATAAAGGGGGTGTGCAGCGTGCCTACCATCCCTGTCTTATTGTCCCCATTTATCTATGTTTACTTCCTTTTTTTTGTGCTTATGTTCATACTTATACTTGCTACCGTGTACATGTTTGACAAACAAATAAAATAAAATAAAAAATAAATAAAAATGTCATTATTCGTAATACCATCCAGAGTCACTCTATGAATAAGATGGACGGTCTCCAAATTTAATATATTTAAAAAATCAAAATAAATTTTAAATAAAAATGCACATTAAAAAGGTGGTGCACCCAGTGCATGTGAGAACTAGGATATTCAATCAATATTGAACAATGTTAATCAGTATTTTTCTAAAAACAAAACAAAATAGAACAGAACAGAACATGGGCTATGCAGAATAATGTAAAACACCCAAGGTCCATTTAATCTAGAGAACAAACGTTTACAAAACATTATAGCTGCATCTTCCAGACACTGTAAAAAGTCTGAATTGGAATTTTGAATGTGGTTGAGTATATTATTAAATAATGAGTAATTTAATGAAATATGTTGTTTATACTTTAAAAAGTTAAATGAATGTTTGTCTTTAGTCCATCCACTTTTGGGAATACATTATTGAAAAATGAAATATACTCTTTGAAGGAAATTGCATGGCCTTCTTTCCTCCTGTTGTCAATCAAATGTCACTTGGTAATTGTGATTCATTCCAGTATTGTTTTAAACTGCTAATAATTTATGATCAAAGTAAGGCAAATGCATTCTGAATATCCATAAAACGATGTACTACACTAAGAGAATATAACTATTAATATTTAACTATTTAACATTTCACTAAGAAAATATAACTATTAACATTTTAAGGTGACTAAAATTAAATAATATAATGCAAGCTTTCCAGACAAGTAATTTACCCAAATCCTTGCCCAGCATCTCCATTGATGGCTAGTAGAACCAGGGAACAAATCACATTTTCTTCTAAAATAAATTTGAAGTAGCCTTTCAAAGAGCCTCCCTTGTTTTTTTCAAGAATCAAGGATTCAAAATGTTCCCTTCACATTCACTTTTAGGAAATTCTAGACTTTTTGCTTCAGCATGTATTGGCTGATATTTTTGCTTTCAATAATTGTGTGCTTTCTGATGGTTACCAGATAGATATGTGTAAACTTAGATTAAAATATATATATAGAGAGAGACAACCGTTATGTAAAAATAAGAAAGCACTGCCTGTTGATAAAAGTTTGTACTGGTTTCTGTTTCCAGCAAATGGGAATAACCGAGGAATGAGAGTATATGAACTTGAGTCTATCCTAGTGCATAAACCATTTCCAAATAAGAGAGCATCCCATTTCTAAATAAAATGAATAAGAAAGAGTAGCTATGATGAAAGAAATGAAACTTTGGATGTAATTACAGCTGGATTAATGGGAATTCATAGGCACTAGGGATTGAGGTCAATCTAATCACACTTCTTCCCCTTGCTTCACCTTTAAGGAGGAACCTAGAATACATGTGAAGCATTAGATTATGCTGGATACACTTTGCTATTCCCCGATTTGGAAAGATTAGAATGATTCTGTTAAGTTCAGCAGAGAATTTCACAAAATGGTAAGACCCAAGTCATATGAACTAGTTTATGCCAGACAAAATTGGGAAGCAATACTCATATCAAATGGGGAACCAAATGGGGTAGTTTCACACTGGAAGTAGCTGCTAGATTGATGGCAAACTACACCCCTCTTGCCCCCTTACCCCCAGCTCGCTATCCATCCATCCCTTAGTTATCATATTGATGCATTTATTCTCATTGTGGTCATTATTTTATTGTTATTTTACTTCTGTTATGTTTGCATGCCTTTCATTTTTCTTCCTTTTTATTATTGTAAGTTGCCTGGAGTAGCCTTACCATGAGATAGGCAGCAAATAAATTTAACAAACAAACAAACAAACAAATATCATCAAGAATTTTGAATGGATGGTATCAAATTCAGGTGTTTACACTGTAAACTAACATCACTTAGTTCTTTGGGACAAATGTAGTCTCAATTTCCATTTCTGTGTAAACAATAGAGTATTGCCCCTGCTTATGTTTTCCCTGACATAGGGAATGAAATGTATGGAAAAAATGTATGGAAAACTATAACTCTATAGAGTTCAACTGTCCCACTCAGTATATGGAGGTTGTGATATAAAGAAGGAACAGAAGGACTCAGTCCCATGTTCTCTGTGCCTTATACAACACGCGTCAGTCATGCATAAGTAAGATTATTTTTACTTTTCAACTGAAATTCATAATCAGGTCTAGACTTGCCATAAGCAAGATGAAATCAAAGTCGTCAAGCAAAAGTACATGATTTTCTATATGTCACAATCCATCTGTGCATTTTGTGTTCCTCGCCGTGTAAGACTCTGATAAATTAATAAATATTCCATTATAAAGGGGAATTAGCAAAAATGAAATACAGAAAAAAAGATCAAGAATTTTTCTAGTGATCTTTGTTCACCAATTCAGCTGATAGAAGATAAATGGTCCCAAATCACCCTATGGGCTTCCATGACTGAAAGTGAATTTCAATCTTATCTCTTTGGCTTTGGCTCCATAATACTGGCTCTCAAATTTAGCACATATGAAGATGTAAAAATGACAAGAGCATGCTGCTTACATTCTGCAAGTATGTCCTATTCTATTTACAGTGGACAAAAAATAACTCCTATTATCTGAACTCAAATTCAGATATTCTCCAAGTATGTCCTATTCTATTTACAGTGGACAAAAAATAATTTCTGTTATCTGAACTCAAGTCATTTCATGCTATTTTTAGGAGGTTCATCTATACAATGTAATCACTTATATTAAAATGCCTAAAATCAGAAAAGAAGGGATCAAATGATTAGAAATGAAAGAAAACAGATGCATGGAATGCAATAAGGACGGTAGGGATGACATTCTCACTTTTCTAGTGCAAACCTGCATTTTTATTAAAGGCATATTTTGGCAGGCCCTTTCAAAAATACATTGTGTTCAGTAAAAATGAAAAATCCCCAGCTGATAAGTAAAAGTTAAACACAGAATAATTCATCCCTTTTTATTACATAAATAATAAAAATTATACAGGAATTAAAAATGGAATGCATGCCTGAAAGCAATCCATTATGATGCAACTACAATATGATATGGTATGTTCCATAAAGATTTGCAGCTGGCTTATTAACATGGCATGAAAAAATATTCAACATATCTACAGTTAGTTTTAATGCAATGATTTTACATAGTATTTCTACTAAAAGAAAGCAGGACAGATTTTCAGTTTGTGCATCTGAGATTCTCTAAAAAAGAAATAACGAATACATAATTTTAACCACATAAAACGGAAAAGCTACTTTCATAAATGGGTACTATCATAAAGCTATAAAGGTGTTCAAAAATAATTATACCTCCAATTTTATTCAATACATCTTATCAAGTATTTTGACATGAAAATCTAAGCAGTCCTATATTTCCAGATACATTAATAGTGAGCCAAAGCTCTTTTTTCTTGCAGTTATTTTTATATTTCCTAAAGAATTTTAAACTGAGTCATCAAACTGTATCAAGTGAATTATTTGCTACAATCACAATAATTTGTCTAAAACAACAGAGGTAGCAAAAGTGAGAGACTTCCAATCACCTGAGAACCAGTATTTAATGCAATTAAATATTAGAAAGCCTTCTCTGCTAAAACACATTAATGTAATGCACTCTTTTTCAATCTGGTGTTCTATAGCTATAATGGAATGTTTTCCCACTATTTCCAGTCAGAATGGGTATGCTGGTTGGGAATTCTCTCAACTATAGCCTAACACAAGAGCTCCCAACCTTTTGGGCACCAGGGACCAGTTCCACAGAGAGAGGTTTTTCCGTGGACCAGAGGAGGTGTATGCTGCCTGCATCCAGAGGATGGGGCTTCACTTGTTTATGCGGCCCAGTTTCTGGCATACTGCGACCAAGTGCCGGTCCACAGACTGGGGGTTGGGGACCGCTGGTCTAACACATTTAGATAGTGCCTAATTGTAGAAAGCTGAAATAATCCTTTCTCTGCTTTTAGAATTACCGTTGATTTACCAGGGCATTGTATTTTCACAAATAGTTATGTTTCTTTCATTTTCAGAAAAAGATCTGTGCATTACATTTTGTGAATAATTTTTATACAAAACTATTTGATTTATTTTTAAGGAAAGTTGGAGACTTAAAACAAGAAACTGCTCAAATCTAAAAACGATTGATTCAAAATGGGACACTAGATACCTATTTATTTTCCAAGGAGAAAAAACAAGTAACGTAACCAACTGAAATAAATGTAAAATGAAGGAATATATAAGCAATGTGAAAATATGCTGAGCTGGTTTAAAGTGAATTGGAAGCACTATTCAGTATCTGTAAAAAGCACCTGGTTTTACTGGACCCTTAGATTACAAAAAGTATGAAGCAAGTCTCAAAAATGCTAATTTCTAGGAATGGATATACTGATTAGAAAAGGAAGTTGATTTGCTAACAGCATCCTAGCCAAAGCAGGTGTTTAAAACTATTCAGTTATACATTTGGCAACAATCATCTAACAAAAATGTCTGGCTGTATAAACTTGATTTACATTTATCAGAAGTAGTAGTAAAATGGTAATTTCATGGGTATCATATGGGAGTTTTTATCATTCATAAGACTATTTTGAAGTAAATAGTTTCAACATTTTTCTATTTTTAAAAAGAAACAAAACAGGATCCCAAAGTAGTTAACTACTTTCAACAAGCATCAGACTTCCTATCCCCAGCCTTTGATTCTCTAATATAAATTACGTCATGAAGTTTTGGAAACTCTGCAATGCAATATTTTAAAATTTTATATGAATGGCAGGATCTCTTTTATAAAGATCATAACAGTGAAATTAAGAAAATATACTAGGAAATAAAGAGTCATTATCAAGTTCATTTGTCTTAGAGACAACCATTTTTATTAAAAACTATTGAATTTCAGTTATCAGAGGATAAAATAATGGCTTTTGTTGCAATTTGCTACAAATTCTCATGTACAAGCCAGCTTTATATTTTTTATGGAAGATGTTTTTTATGGAAGATGTTTTTTAAATAAACACTTTCTTCTAGAATAGAGAATAATATCACAGTTTAATTTATCTTTTCAAGACTGCAAATAAGGGAAATAAAATGTTTTGAAAATTACTATATCCTATTTTTCTAAGCCTTCCTCAATGAAATATAATATATATATATTTGGCACAAAGAACTTCAGTACACTTCGGAGGAAATTCACTGCATGAAAACAGTTTCTTAATACCAAACATAACATTATTTACAGCAAACACCAAACAAACAAGTAAAAAAAAAAAAAAACCCTCTCATTGTCACATTTTTAATCAAGAATATTTAGCCAGGTCATTTTTTTCCTCACTTATTTCATATATGCTAAATGATTACCAAATAAATACTTTTTCTGTCAATTCCTTTTGCAAATTTAAATTGTTTTATAAATAAGGGAATTTTTTTTTTACATTTATTCCTCCTACCATGATTTTAAGATATTTTTGAAACAAAATTCCATTGAAGTGTCAATTGTAATTGAAATATGCAGCATAAAAATAAAAGCTGAATGTATTTAAGACAATGGGGAAACAGTTACTAGTGTGGATTATGAAATATTATTTCTTTGGGTGATATGATAGAGAAAAATGGGAAATAGAAAAGAGAATGAATGTGAAAAAAAAGGAATTTTATTTTAAAAATTACATGAAATATTAAATATTTTGTAAGGATGCAACTTACCTTAGTTTTCCAAAATTTCAATGGAAATAGAGGAAAAGCTGAGCTCAGTATATCTGAGAATTTAGAAACAGAGAAATGGGAAGCCTTGTGATATATAAAATTAAATATAAAATACGTTAAGCAGGTGAAACCATCAACCCTTCTGGACTGAGTTGTAAAACTCAATCCAGGTTAACTACTGTTTTTCAGGGAATGGCAAAAGTGCCCATCCCATGGTAATTCCTTTATCAATTTATTAAAATTATAATTTATACATTATTAAATGTAATGAAAATGAAATTAAGGGATGGAAAATAATCTTTTGAAAAATATTGTTTATACTAGAAAATATATGAAATATTATGAAAAACTTCTTAATAGTGTACACAAGATTCAGAAAGTAGAATTCTACTTTCAAAAATCTTTTCAGCCATGCTTCCATATATTTCATTGGCAAAAGGGAACTTTTGCAAAATTACTAAGTAAAGCTTTTTGACATTTTAAAAATTTGCTCTGAATAAATTACGTGCAAACTTTTGTTTTCTTTTTCTAGAAAAAAGAAAATATACAACAAACCTTCCAGGGAAGAGTATGTAATTATTGATATACACAACTATAATAGATTCTTTTGCTCCTTCAATACTATAGAACACAAGTCACCTAAACTAGCTGCACTATTCTTATAAAAGTACAGAGAACAGCAATGTATTTACGTAATCTCAGCGAAGAAAAAAGCTCACACTTAATCATAGCTGAATGCATAATAGGCTTTGCTCTTCTTATAATGTTAAGAAATCTCCATTAACCAATAAGGAGGGGTTTTTTTGGGGGGGTGGGGTGGGAGACATCTTTGCACATTTACAAGTTTTACAACATATTTTACAAAGCTTGCATACATAAATTAAATATAGTGCAAGACCTTTGAAATGTTCTTTCTATTAACAGATCTGAATGTACACATTACTAAAAGAAATAATTTTCTTTATGGAACACCCAAAAAATAAAATTCACACATTCTCAAGTTTAAGCTTAAAAGAGGTATCCTTACCTGAAACATCTAGTAGTACAAATAGCAATTCTCTAGTATATCTAATTTACTACTAAATGTTTTCTGTTAGACATCTATGAATCAAAAGAGTTATAAGTAGTCTTATAAATTGTGCAAATTACTAGCAAAGTAAGAAATATTACTCTGTAATTTGCATACAAGCCAAATAAAAACTATTTGCCACATTCAAACAGCACTATTTGAGTCTGGAAGTCTTTTTCTGGAAAATGCAGCTATGCAGCCAGAAATATTGGGAACATACCCTGGAGGCGACTGTGTATTAAATTACAAGACACTCTATGAATTAAACAAACATAATTGACTGCCTGAGTCACCCTGTCATAGTCTGCACTGTGTTTTCCACAGATATTAGCCATGAATTTTATATATTATTATATAATGCCTATTTTCTATACAGCAACTAGACAGCAACAATCACCACTGAAAATTTTGGATTATCTAATGGAATAAATATTGTGTTCAAAACTTTGAAATTTAACAATTTTAAAAAATATATATACATAAATTTACCAGATTACATCTTTTTATTAATCTGTGTTATCTATTACTAATAAATATCACCAACTATATACTGTCCAGATCAATTTTTATGGAGTTGATTCAATAATATATTGTATACATTTGAGAGTTAAAATGTATTGTTTTGACACTGCTGTCTTCATTCTTTTTTCACTGACCAACTCCATATTGAATGAAAAATAATTTCCAAATAATTTCCTGAGTATTTCTTATAAGCAAATAAATATTAGCTAGATTTAGAAGTACATTTTAAAAATTCCTAAGATTTGATAAGAAATTAGAAAATATCATACACACTGGGTGAGTGAAACATGTTCACAGAACTATTCTTATAAGTGATATGGGGGGATTAAATTTCATTAGAAATGATTTTTCCCTTAAATATCAATATTTTCTTTTTATAAAACCTTAGAAGCAAAATGGAAGTGCGACAGTCTCTCTTACACTTCTGTATTGTATCTTACTTTCTGTTTAATACTATTCCAAACAAAGTGCAGAGACAATATTAAGTTAAAACCTTACACCATGATTTACAGTGCTGTGTCATGCCAACTTTGGTTTGCCACTGGCATCTCTTGCTGTGGCTCTTTGGTCTTCACCCCATGTATTAAATGGAAGAGCATCTGCTTTACTTTCTTGGTATGAATAGGTTTTCCTGGGTGGAAGATTGCAAGCACACTAGATGTCTACCTCCATTATGCAAATGCTTATTTCACATTGATACGAATGGGAAAGCTATATATACATTTAGGAGAAGTAACACTATTGTTCCTACTTTATGTTTTTAGCTTTTAATCTATTACCCCAATCAAACTGTCTACAGGAAATCTTAAAACCATTATTTTACTTGTGGCATTATAATGGGATGTATTCAGTGTTGTTGTTCAACTGACAGAAGGTTCTTGAGTTTAAAAGCTTTTATTAGCAGAAAAGGGAGGAAAGGTGGGGATGAGAGCCACAAGGAGAAGCAACATAGCACACTTGATTCCTTTTATTGGATCATGAACCTCTCATCAGCAGAAGATCAGCAGTGGATATAGCCCATATCACTGCATCTAGGATGGGAGTAAAAATCATATTGTTATACTTCAATATGTATTTAGTTCCTATTTATTGTTAAGTATTAATACTGCACTTAATATCACAAATGTATAAAAATATGGCAGATAGTGTCATAACAATACTTTAAGTGAATAGCTTTTTTAAAAACGATTATTTATTATATAAATATATATAGTCACATACACATACACGCACACATATATGTATTTATAATAAAATATTCCTGATGTAATAAATGTTAATTTTTGTAGAAACTACTATAGCTGTTTTCACTTCATCACAATGTTCCATACAGCTCCAAATAATGTTATAACATAAAATGTGATATAACAATAAGGTATTAGATAATAAATATTACAAATCTTATCAAATATGGAAGTTTTAAAAACAAATAAACTAAAACTTTAAACCATACTAAGGATACAAATATATCACATAAAACCTATTTAGTTTTTTTTTTAAATTTAGGCAGCAATATTTTTTAAAAGGGCATACATCTAAATATTTTTTTTAAGTTCCCCAAAATGCCAAAATAGTTTTCAGATAAATGTGCATATTAAGCTGGAATGTAAGCTGAGAGAAAAGGGCAAATAGTTTGTTCTCCCTGAATTGCACATTCTTTTGCTATTATAATGTGTGAATGGCAATTTATAAAGTTCATTTCACTATAGAATCCCTATTGATGTGGTAGTAGTAGCTACACAAACTTCATATTGCACACTCTTTTGTAAAGCTGCAAATACAATCATTACTCCAATCATTGGCATCACCATATCCCTCAATTAACCCCTGTAATATCACTTTCTTGGATACAATTACAAAGCTGTCTCCTTTAAATCATTCAGATTTGGCATTCGTGATCGGTTTGTTCGGTTATACGTATGCCCATTTTGCCCACTTTTCGAAGCTATCTGATCCGAGTATGATGATGTCTCACTGGCACTTCTGTTCCCTGGGGAAACGTGCCAGCTTGGTTCCATCTGGCTTATGATCTGGAGGGCTGCTCTGCCTTTTGATTGAGATTCTTGGCGTAGGTTGTTGCTGCTGGTAGTGGAAGCTTGACTCATAGGATGAATTCGAACTTCAGAAAAAGAGGTTTTAGCTGGCTGATTTGGTAAAGGCTGGAATCGGGCTTCAGAAGGAATTGAATGGTTTGAGGAGGAGGAAGAAAGATGCAACAGCTTGCGTAAAGATTTTAGAGGCTGACTCTGAAAGACAGAAAGTAGAAAACGATGGGTTTTATTTGTTCTTTATTTCCCTTCTTACTTTCCTTATTTTTGTTAAGCACTAAAGTATTTTGCATATTGACATTGAATACTAAACTGTCAATTATTCAATAATTTGGTTTGCAATCTTTAAGCGGTCATGGACAATTGGAGTTCTTGGAATTCACTAGAAACTGTCAGATTCCATAGATCCTATAGGGATGCTGCCATTCTAGTAAGCCTGGGTGCATTCTTTAGTTTATAGCCTTTTTCCCGATGCCTATGTATTCTGTACTTTTGATTTACCTTCTTGGGAATGTAAGGGGGAGGGCCATCTGTTTTGCCTCAGTTACAAAGCCTCCAGAAACTGTAGATCCTGCTTCCTTTGTCCTGCAATCCCTTTTCTTCAATAAAAGGTTCGTTTTGAAATGTTAATGGTTTCAAGAGTTTTACTTTCTTGAATGGAGAGGAGAGGCAGACCTAACATAAAGCAGAATCTGCAAAAGTGGTCAACCCGGAGAAGCTCTACTCGCTCTACTAGGGGGACCCTGCAAGCCATGTTCGAGCAAAGTGGCGAGCATGAAGAGGGAGAATGCTGGGGTGAAACCTCTACCACCACCCAGCCGGATGTAATCTCTGTGTGCCCCATCAAAGACCTCGAGGCCATTTTGGAGGACCCCATGAAACCGAGATGGTCGATCAGAGTTGGGAAGAAAGACAGCTGGGACAGAAGAACCAAAAGCCCTTACTCGAGGTGGCCGGCAGCCAGGCTGGAAACGCGAGCTGGAAGCCCTATGGGACCAGGAGGAACTGGACGAAGAGCCGGCTGGAGACGATAGACTGAAAAGACTTGTCATGCTTTTGGTGATGGAGGCTTTTGAGAACCTAAGAGCCCGGGGGGAGCTAGACTGTCACAAGAGAGGAGGCGAGGCAGCAGCAACAGCTGACAGAGCCAGAGCTACCACCCCATATCCGACAGCCGCAGATCATGCAGACGAAGCTGTGGGTGGGACAGCCATCCCAGAAAACCCGACCCGTGCAGCAGCGGCTCCTGAAAATGTCCAAGGCCAGCCAAGAGCACCGCAGCTGGAAAGGAAACCCCCCCAAGAGTGAAGTATAATGGCGACCCGCAGCAGTTGGGTGCATGTCCTTACGTACATGCAGGAATACGGGTGGGATTTCCAAACCCAGGGCGTCCGAGTCCAAGTCATCATCCTGGTCCTGGAAGGGGCGGCAGCCTGGTGGATGGTGACCCTCCACAATGCCAATGCCCCAGAGTTGCAGAACTTCAACTGTTTCATGATGGCTCTCCGCCGTCATTTCGAAGACCCCCTGGCAGATCAAAAAGCCCGTGACCATATCAGAATTGTGAAGCAGGGCCGCCGGCCGCATACCAAGGAATTCCGAGACCTCACCTGCCGAGTAGACTGGCTGGAAGACATCCTGATGAGCTGGTTATAGGACGGGCTGAATAATGACCTCTACCATGCCTGCCTAGCCTGAGAAGCCCCAAACATCTCCATGACTGGTACATTCTGGCCGAAGAGGTAGAGATTGACCTGGCCAAAAACCAATACCGAGCAGAGAGAACCTGGAAGAGATCCTCATCCCAGGGAAAGTGAGAGCTATTCAAGCCACAAACTGCCCTCTTGCCGTGACCATCTGCTGTTTCAAGTGTGAGAAGAAAGGGCATCACACAGCTGAGTGCTGCTCAAAAACCTGAGTGCCTATCAAATGGAAAACCCATGAAAGCCACCTCCGTGGGAAAGACTGCACTGAGAAGCGGAGAGGCTGTGGAGTTTCACTCCTTCGCAAAACCGGGGGAGGGAATTCTGGCCTCACCAGGAGAAGACCTGGGTCTGTTTGAAAGTGACCCTGAAGACGACCCGCTGGTAAGCGAACCGATCGAACTGGTCACACTGCCCCTAAGACAATTAACCTCTAGCAGGAAAAAGAGAGTAAAGCTCTCAGCCCTCCTGGACTCAGCGTATACCCGGTGCTTAGTAAGCCCAATCCTGCTGGAGACATTGGGCATCCACCTATGGAACTAAAGACCCCCATTGTATTCTGCCAATTAGATGGGTCAGTTGTGTGTGTGGGGGGGAGCCAGCCACTTTTGCCAGAGCCCTTGGAAATAGCCATGGGGACCCATGATGAGAGACTCATATTTATCATGGCACCTGGAATGGAGTGGCCACTAGTTCTGGGACTCACCTTGTTGAAGAGGTGGAACCTCAGACTAAACTGGAAAGAGGGGACCCTAAGATTCCAGTGGGGAGTGACCAGACTAGATGACTGAAGGGAGAAACTGGGGAAAAATCCAAATAAAGAATTTGGCTGAGCCAGCTCAGGGGATTCCCTGGGAATACAAGGATGGCTCCGACGAGCCCACCCCCCAGACTGTACCACTGAGATTCTCCCAGGGGCCAAGCTACTGAAACCAAAATATACAGCATATCCCCCAGGGAACTTGAGGAACTGCGAGTTTTCATAGATAAAAATCTGGCCAGGGGGTTCATCCAACCAACACAGCCTAAAATTGCAGCGTTGGTACTGTTCTGAGAAGGATGGATCTTTGCGCTTATATGTGGACTACAGAAATTTGAATGCTGTAAGTGTGGAGAATGTGTATCCCCTTCCCCTCATGAAAGATATGTTAGTCCACCTCTCCAAGGGAAAAATCTTTTCAAAATTGCACTTGAGGGAAGCCTACTACAGAGTCAGAATTAGGGAAGGAGACGAATGGAAAACAGCTTTTAACACACCCTTAGGGTGTTTCCAGTTTAAAGTGCTCCCATTTGGACTATAGGGTGCTCCGGCAGTATTCATGCAACTAATAAATGAAGTGCTCCATGAGCACCTATATAAAGGAGTTCTGGTATACTGAGGTGACATTCTAATATACACCAAAACTAAAGCAGAGTACATAAAGCTTGTCTGGGCAGTCTTGAATAAACTCCGCACCACAAAGCTTTATGCAAAACTGTCCAAATGTGAATTCCACAAGGATAAAATAGACTACCTGGGGTACAGGAACTCCCACGAGGGTGTGGAGATGGACACAGAAAAAGTGCAAGTAGTGATTGAGTAGGCCCTTCCCTGCACATGCAAGCAACTGCAAAGCTTCCTGGGGTTTGCCAACTTCTATCAGCAATTTATTCTGGCATCCGTGCAAATTGCACTCCCCATCACTAACTTGCTGAAAACAAAAGGGGGAGACAAGCCGAAACTGAAGCAGCCCCTGAATTGGACCATGGAATGCCAAGTGGAATTTGAAAAAGTGAAACGGTTGTTTTCAGCCAGTGCCAGTGCTAAAGCACCCAGATCCAGAAAAACCTTTTGTCATACAGGCAGGTGCTAGTGACATTGCCGTCAGGGCCGTCCTACTCCAAGAGAATGAGCAGAGCCATCTACAACCCTGTGCATATATTTCTAAAAAATTAACAGACACAGAACAGAGATTGGCTATCTGGGAGAAAGAGGCATATGCTGGAATCTGGAGGGCTGCTGGAATGTGTTTGCAGTAGCGCCTCTTGGTTTTATTTCTTTTTATCAATTTTTAATACTCCCATTGGATCATTTTTTATTTAACTAATATTTTTTGGAGGAGATAGCAGTGTAGACCATAACACAGAGAAAAATTTTTGTTTTTGCCGGGGACTAATAAGGCATGGGAAAAAGAAAGAAACGCTATGGCACCAGCCTGGGATCTCTCCCACCAGTGAAAACTGCAAACCAACCAAGAATTGAGGAACACTTTGCTAGCAAGAGATCTGTAAGTAAAACTAACCCCCTCCATTTATAGCCTTTTTCCTGATGCTTATGTATCCTGTATTTTGATGTACCTTCTTGAGAATGTAAGGGGGGAGGGCCATCTGTTTTGTCTCCGTTCCGAAGCCTCCAGCAAGAGACGCCTGGAAACAACTTCTTATCACCTTCTCAGCCTGCGCTTCCCAAAACAACTTTGCACCTGTGGATTGGCTTATTCAACATCAGATTGAGAGGAGGGGTTTCTAACTGCTTTATCCTAACTGAATTGCCCAAACACTAGAGATCCTGCAATCCCTTTCCTTCAATAAAAGGTTCCTTTTGAAATGTTAATGGTTTCAAGAGTTTTAGTTTCTTGAACGGAGAGGAGAGGCAGACTCTTACAGAAACTACAAATAGTAATGGAAAGGATTGATTTCTAGAAGTGTAGGCAAAATTGTAAAAAAAAAAGGGGGGGAGGGGTAGCCTCTGGGTAACATAGAATTCCACAATGCCTTGTATAATAAACACAGCCCAAAATTTGGTTAGGGAGGGGATATGCATTTGCTTTCTGATTAAAAAATTGTTAAAAGACAAAAAGAACCTTAATTCTCACAGTCATCATTTGCAACTTCTAAAACGCTCTTTTATCACAAATTCTGTTTTCTACCTATTTTGGGAGGGAATCTCTTGCCTAAAGCCTGATAGGCCCCTTGAACGGATGAAAGTTGCACAATCTAGCATTAGCTGATATACTAAGTGCCTATTAAAAATGTTAAAGTTGAGTTGATTTGGAAATTTAAGATGGTTTGTAGAGCAGTTAGTTTATGTCAGTGGTTACTGAACTGTTTCACCTAATTACTTCTTTTCCTGGTCTCAAATAATGTCATTATCCTATAAAGAAACCAGACTGTGTTGTTTTACACAACTGCCTTGGAAACTGCAACCTCAAATCCTTGACTCACAAACAAGAAATTTACAAATATTTCATTACTTCCAGAACATGACCAAATTATCACTTGGAGGTAATTATTCTCAATTTAAAAACTATAGGTAGTCCTTGACATTCTGACCATAATTGAGTGTGGAAATGTGGTCATAAATCATTGCATTTGAAAATCACCTTAAGTAATCTTCTAGCCTTTTTCACAGTAGTCGTTAAGTGAATGTGGCAGTTGTTAAGTAAGCCTATTTATTTGAAGGGTCAGGTTTTGCCATCTGACAAAAAACACTGCAAATCCCAGTTCTTGACTGCAAACTGGCACAATGACATGTGGTCCTGTGATTATGGCGTGTGTGGGATATGACCATATATGATGGCTGGGAGTGCTTTATGGGCTGGAAAGGGCTGGAAAGCACCCAGTCTGTGGCAATTGCAAATTTGTGCAGTCATAAAATGATTGGTTGTTAAATAAGGATTATTTATATTGGTTTATGTAGTGCAGGATCCAATCTGGGTTGGTCACCGGAACAGAGTCTTCAGAGCTTTCGGACTCGTGCTGGAGCCAATCCTCAGGGAACTTCTCTCTAGCAGTGTGTGTGCTTTGGCCTATTCTCTGTGAGGTATTTATATGGTGCCTGGTTATTGTGGCTTGGGGTGCTGATGGCTGGCTAAGTACATGATAAGCTGGTGGTAAATCAGCATTCCTGTTGACTGATAAGGGGCCTGTTTCCCAGGCTTCAATCACTTCCCTGGCTGTTTTTGTCTCTGATCATCCAACAATCTTAGCTGCAAAATTGAATGTATGTCCTTATTTGTTGCAATGTTGTTTATGTAGTAGCTGTATTGTAGGTGGTATGCTGACTGTGATCACATTCTGCTAAAAGTTAAAAAGTTGATTTTAACCTTTCAGCTTTAAATGACTTGACATTAAATAACCTGAAGGCTTACCTTTAGCCACACAAACTTGTCAGAATGTTAACATCTCCAACCTACTCATTTGTTCACTACTGTGAACAAATGAGATTAGATTATTGCATATCACTAACAATATGTCTTTTCAACTGGTTCTGTATTTTTAGTATAAATTACCCAGAGATGTGCATCCAGTACATAGCTCAAGGACCTAAAATGTCCTGAAGCAGAATGCCTGTCTTCACTGATTTTTATTATTACTCTTTATTGCCAAATTTGTTTTGTTTTGCAAGCTACCTTGACCGAAATACTTTAAGTAAACAAATAATATGAACATATGGTTGGAACAATACTTTGTTGTTGCTCAAGAAAAAGTGAGGGACAATTCTTATTTATGAACTTCATACTGAACGTAAGGCAGGTGATAATTCTATCTGCTCCACTGATATATATTAATGACTAGATGGTTACATTAAAGGTAAAGGTTCCCCTTGCACATATGTGCTAGTCGTTCCTGACTCTAGGGGGCGGTGCTCATCTCCGTTTCAAAGCCGAAGAGCCAGCGCTGTCCGAAGACATCTCCATGGTCATGTGGCCAGTATGACTAAATGCCAAAGGCGCACAGAACGCTGTTACCTTCTGACCAAAGGTGGTCCCTATTTTTCTACTTGCATTTTTTACGTGCTTCTGAATTGCTAGGTTGGCAGAAGCTGGGACAAGTAATGGGAGCTCACCCTGTTACGTGGCATTTGGGATTCGAACCGTTGAACTGCCGATCTTTCGATTGACAAGCTCAGCATTTTAGCCACTGAGCCACTGCATTCCTACAGATGGTTACATTACTCGGATAAAACATACCTCACAGTTCTGTTAAAGATGCAACACTGAAATTGCTTCTTTTGCCAATTTGATAAAAGCACCAAGACTCTGTGGGCACTGCTGGTAAATCTTTTAAATTGATGTATAAAAAAATTCTAATGTAGCTCTGGGTTAATGAACTAATAATCAAGCAGCACTTGTGATGATTTTAGTTTGAGATCCCAAGAAAAAAAGTTCAAAGTTACTCTCTTTTATAACTTAGAACAATTATTCACCTGCCAAATGACTTAAAATGAAATGAAGCAATATTTAAACTTACATGTCCTTGGATTTCTGTCATCTTTTCAGAATGCCAGTCCTTCTGCCTGCTGGCTGGATGATTAGATGTGTGAATAGCTTTTTGTATTGCCAAAAGATCCTGACTTTCACTTCCAGGCATCTGTAACATGGAACAATATCTATTCATTAATTCCTGGGAACAAAAATTCTAAGTTATGTCTCAACTAACACTTCTCCTTGCTTCTCAGATCAAAGCAATGCAAGGGAACCCATTATTGCTATGCCCTTTTAAGGTTTCCATATTAATAATATATTTGTAGATGCCATGCATATTTTTATAACCTGCACCCTTAAGGCATTCACATGCTGTTAGTTAAATACTGCAAAAGAGAGAGGGAGCAGTTAAGTACAGTGCTCTGTTTCACCCTCATTTTCATGACATTCCATATTGCTTTTAAGATCATGAGCCATTTTCACAAAAACTATGTTTTTTGCTAAGGAAGAAATATAAACAGTCATCAATTAATTTTGCAGTACATTTATAAGGAAGAGTATTTTCCCTTATCAAAGAAATAAGATTTACAGTAGCTTAAAAAGATATGTTTACTAATCAGAGAAACTGCTAAATAGTGCAACATGCCAGCTTCAGAGAAAACCTTTGGCTGAATATATCTTCTGAACAGTTTAGTCGTCTAACAGGGAGTAGGCAATTGCTGGCTAAAACTCCTTTCTCAGCAAATAAAATTTAGGATTAAAAATTGCTAATCCATTAAATATAGGGGGATTACCTTTTATTTTGCCAACAACATACAATAAGATAAATGACTATAGAGAAAATAAAAGCTTTCCAAAGTGTTCTATATCCGATGAAATTCAACTGTGGCTAATATATTGTGTGTTCCTTTTATTTAGGTAAAGCAAAGCAGTGAGGTTAACCCAACCCATGTTTCTGATCAAGTGAGCTATAGCTCACGAAAGCTAACATCTTGTAATAACATTTCTTAGTTTTAAAAAATGCTACCAAACCCTTGGGATATCGAGCTCTGTAAGTAACTAAAATTGAACTTTGTTTTAAATGAATACTCAAACATTTCACCGGCTACCTTAAGCCCTTTATATCAAGAATCTCAAACTAAGAGACAAATATGGGGAAACAGACTACAAGATAAGGGCATTAGCTTGGCCTTCCCTATCTCATCATGGAGAAAATCTATTTGTCATCATTGGGAGTAAAAAATGACTCAACATCACATAATCAATCAATCTTCTCTTGGAAATACAACTTTTTCCTGATGGAGTTGAGAACCAGCAGGCCTACAGAGATAGCTATTAAACAAAAACCTTCTCTAACTTAAAGAGCAGTAGAATCCTTCACTGGACTGTAGTAAATGGTAAAATTATTACTAATAAATGACAGCAGTCGGTATGCTGTACAGACAGGTAAATGGGGGGAAAGTAGCAAATACTTTCTCTACAACCAGAAAGGGTTTGACACAGCGATCAGTCCCATACTCTCCCCATTTGGCACTACAGAATGGTCAGAACCTACTTCCTATTTACTTGGGAACCTACTTCCTATTTGCTTGCTCATAAACTCTGATTTGGCTTCTAGCTATTTATCAAGAAAATCACCTGACATCAATTGCTTCATTATTTATTTAATATTTAATTTTATTCATAAGAGGTCATAGAAATGTACTCTTCCTGTTAGGGGCTCAGCAAGTAGGATTGCCAGAAATTTCACAATAATCTTCAAATCCTTTATATTTGCCAAATCTGGTAGCTGATACCTCAATAAGCAAGTTGTTCTTCCCTACGGAAGACTAAAGTAGTCAAGCAAAATGTTACAAAAAACATGAGCTACTTACTGACTGAGATTTCTTCTTTTTCTTTTTTATTGCCCTGAAAAAACTTTGTTTTTCTTTTTCCTTTAGTTGTTCAGAATGAGTATCTTCAGGACTTTTCCTTAATGTAGAGAAAAAACCCATAGATAGATGGATAGATAGAAAGATAGATAGATAGATAGATATAATAAACTTTAGCATAATGAATTACATACTGCACAATCCTATAAAAATATAATACTTTCAAAAGAATATGCATGGAAAATCCCCATCAGCAGTGGGACATTAAGCAGGGGACTTGCCAGAATACTGTTCGGGGCTGAGAATTCTCAATACTACATTTGCTGGGTTTCTGTGATGAATTCTAGGTACCAATTCTGATTGAAGACATTTGCACTGATTATCACTTGAGGCTTTGTACAATCTGCATGATGTCTGAATTGAGAAAAACTATATTGCATTAGAATTACTAGCTTGAATTTGAAAATACTTCATGCGGAACTGGCTTTCCAAATACATTTTGTAGACATATTATGGTTCCTAGAGCAATCATACTTTGTCTGATCTAGTTGTAACAGTGAAGTATACTTACTTGAAGGAAGAAACATTACAGAATATATTTGAAATTGGGAGAGACAATGTTAAGATGACAATTCAGTAGAGAGCTGGTGTAAAAGTTATAAAACAAAAATTAAACCCAGCCTGTCTCATCCTTTTTGCTTACAGGAACAAACAGCAAATTAAATCTTAATATTTACTTTAATATATATTATCAGTGTACTTCTCTTTTCTAATATACACAGACATTGTACTATTTCTCTTCAAGGCAAGAAATATTATGCCAACTGCAGAAAAGTAGGTAGTAGAAAGCAAAAGAAAACAGAGATATAAGAGTAAATAAAAGTAAATGAATACTATTCACTGCCAAGCTCTGTTCAGCTGGTTTGAACTTGACCTGGCAGAGGTAGCAGTCAATATTTTATTATCACATGAGGACTGAAGCTACTTTTTATAGTTAAGTCTACTGGCCCTATCTACCCACTTGGGCTGACTGTTCCTGCTTTTCCTCCTATTCTTTTAATAGTTTCATGGACACTTTGATTTATGTTTTCTATTGGGTGAAAATTTTCTTAATTGACATTTTAAGCATTTCATTTCAGGTAACTTTCAACATATCTCCACACCACTCTGCTCTCCATTTTCTAATTTATGCCTCTTTGATTGCTTGGAATGATCAAGAACAGCTTCTCATCCTGATTCACAGATATTGGAATGAGGGGTGACCTACTTTCTTCCTTTTAAACTCCATTCCTGAAGGCTTCAAGACAGACTTGAGAAATCAAATATCTCACTCTTTTCCTCCAACAATGAACTGTCTCAAGACTGCTAGTCTGAAAGAAAGAGACCTGTCCCCAGGCTTCCCTTTCTAGTTGCCAAACCAGAAACAAAATTGCTGATGATTATAGAAGCTTTTTGGTAAGGCAAGTCAGGTGGTTTGAATTTATGAGAGTTCTGAAAATGAAAATGGAAATGGAACTAGGGCATCTTGGACATTGATTATGACCTCCAAAACATTATTGGCATTTGGGTAGCATTTCCAATACTTAAATATTCCTGCTCTATCCCTGTCCCTAACTCTGTGTGAGGAATCCAGAATGTGCTCCATTTCAAGCTGTTCTTTCCCACCCACCGGGATGGGAGATAGTAGAACAGCAAGGTGTTCCTGAATCAGCAGGGAACAATGGAAAACTGGATATATCTTTATTTTCAAAAGCAGCAGCAAGAAAAAATACACAGGGTAAAATTTGTGCAAAAATGGAGAATAATCCCACAAATCAACACATCATTTGTAAGAAGCTTATAGTTGTTCTTGGAATTTGTGTTGAATTGCCTCAGGCTTTTTATAGAATCAAGACAGTCAGAAAAATAGAAGGGCACTATCCATGTGAGTGTCAAAGGCAAACAGCTGAATAGTGGTGTGAACAGAGTTTTTTAAAGCAAATTTCACAAGTCATAAAAGTTCCAGCAATGTCTTGCTATAAGTTAACACAGTAGAGAATGTACTACTTAAAGTTAGCAATGAGGACCCAGATAGTTGGGGACAATATGCTGACTCTGTAAATTTCTTAGAGAGGGCTGTAAAGTACTGTGACGCGGTATATACTGTAAGTCAAAGTGCTATTACTATTAGTAATTTCTATTTCCCTATTCCAGGGGTTTGCAACCTTAAACACTCAAAGAGCTGTTTGGACCCATTTCCTACAGAAAAGAAAACACCGGGAACCACAAAACCTGGGTGGACGTGGCCAACTTGACGTCAATCACTGCCACCCAGTCACAGAACCCCCCCAGCCACACCTACCCAGCTTTTGTGGCTCCCAGTGTTTTCTGTGGGGAATGGGTATTTCTCTCTCTCTCTCTCTTTCTCTCTCTCTCTCTGTCTCATTCTCTCTCTTTCCATGCTCTCCTGCCCAATTTCACGTGTCAAGTGACTGGGAGGGGAGGGTGAGGGACGGGGCCAGCCAATGGTGGGATCACCTGACAGGGAGCCACAGCAGAGGGACGAAAGAGCCACATGCGGATTTGGAGCCGTGGTTGCCGACATCCGCCCTATGCCACTCTATATGGTAAGCTGAAGACAGTTGAAACTTAATAATCAATAGTTTAAACAATACACACAATAACTTGCTATGAACTGTGGCCATTTGCTGCAGATCTGTGACTGAAAAGTGTGTAGATCCAGAATATCTGTTGAATCAGGAAACAGGCCATCTCAGGAGTAGAGAGGCCACAACAGAGAAGTGTGCCAACTTAAAGAACTGAACAACAATGACTAAAATAATAGTGAGATTTTAATAAGAGATAAATTACTTAGAAAGTCCAAGGAAATTGTACAAGACCCCTTTGTGCCAGAGAGAAGCTGAAGAAAATCAGTGCTATTTTGAGGCTTCTCACAGTGATAGGTATTGTTTGATGAGTCATACATTTTGATATGTGCTCTGATTCATAACCATTAGAAGTCAAAGGAATTGTTAAATTTCTCAACTGCCAAGCTAATTGGTTATCATCCCCAAATTACAAAATCTCCTCCCCCAAGAAATGAACATATTCTTTTGTCAAGCCCTATGTAACTGGCAAACTAAGAAAGCAAGAACTGTCCAGATTTTAGGAAAGCATCTTTAATACTATTTCAGAAAAAATAGCAGAATCTTGAAACTCTAATCCTTATGTGCTTAGGGTGTAAGGAATATGACATTAAAATGAAAGAAAGATTGTGCCCAACTGATTTTATATTGGGCAAGCTTATAAGAGGTCTGAGGATATCCCAGATTCTGAAAATCTAGTGTATGACTTCCAGAAGATAATGCTAGGCCTGGAAAGTATCATTAATAGTAAAAAGGTCTGTTAAAAATGTCATAATTTCATTTATTGAGCAAAGCTTGTAAAAATAGAATGCCAAGGGTAGGAGGCTGCCTGGAAATTGCAGGGCTGTTGATAAAGATAGGATTGTCAACATGATCGCCAACCCAAAATAAGACATCCCCTGATAATAAGCCCAATCGGGCTTTTGAGCGCATGGCAATAAGGCCAAGTGCTTATTTCAGGGTTCAAAAAATATAAGGCAGGGTCTTATTTTCGGGGAAACACGGTATATGTGTGTGTGTGTGTGTGTGTGTGTGTGTGTGTGTGTTTGTATACACACATATACACATACATACATACATAATAAAAAGACAATAAAAACCATTCAACAAGAAACAAGAAAAAAATGATTTCTGGAAGATTTAAGAAGGTAAAAGAGAATAAATGTTGATCTCATCATGGTCCCAATGAATATGTAGAGTGTAAACCTCAAGTCAATCCACTGGAATCATTAAAAAATGCAAGGTAGAGGGCTGATAAATTTGGATTTGTTGATGTGTAGATGCAGTGTTTACATGTGTTCTGAACTGGCCATCAATTATATTTCAATTAAGTTTGGAAGGTAGACAGGTTTAAAGGTACAGCTGAACTGCATGAAATAGGAAACTCAATAAAATTACCAGACTCTATTAAACCCTGTTGGTAATTTCTGATTCCAGGCCAAATTTTCAGTGTGGCTACTGGATGAATTAATAATCTTAAATGAATTAATCATTTAAGAAATTAGGAAATGTTGATTTTTTTTTTCTATATTAACTTTTCTACTTCTATATAAACTAACTGTGGTTTATCTTTTATAAAGAAACTTACTTACCAGGAATCAAAAGCCGTTTGTCTCTTTGAATGGCTTGTTACATTACTGCTTTCTGCAGGCAATGCAGGTATTCTGTTTGAGGCACTATTGTCTAGAAATGTTCCTTCTGGGCGTGGAGATGGGACTACAAGAAGAAATGTAAGGTTACACTATATACATTCTCAATTATCTCTTTTTAAAAATACAATAAGATGGCACCTATTCATGCTTGGCAGAAGATTATATAGTTTACTCAACATGTGATGTTGAAATTTGCTTCTGTTTATTTCAATGTTAGATTATGAATCATAATAATCTATCAGTGTTGAGAAAAGAACAAAGGTTTAAAAGAAATTTGATTTCTGTAGTGTAGTATAGGAGCTCTTAGTACATTAAGTTATCTTAGTGGCTGAAGTTGGAAGAAGATTATAGTAATTCATGTTTTGACAACTTTTGGGTTCAATCCATACAGTATATAATGTATTGTATGCATAGATATCAATGAAGATGATCTGGTTGCTGAATATGCGTTAAGTAGAATGATGAATTGTTTATTTTAATTTTATTCATCTCAGATTTGAACTCTTGCGATTTAACTCTGCCTCCTTTTAATACCCAAGGAAGTTTTCTAGAAAATTAATAATCATTGCTTTGCCCTGTGAAATTATTTCCAGAGAAAGGAAATGACTGTAACCATTATTTTTTTTAAAATGCCTATCAAATCTGAATTTATCCAAATACAAAAGAATCACAAATGAGAAGGCAAGAAGGTCAGTGCAAATGTATCAGATTTTTCTGCAGAAAAAAAATAAAACCAGATGCTGATTATATTTATAGAAATAGCACTTAGACTTATATACTGCTTCATAGTGCTTTCAGCGCTTCATAGTGCTTTACAGCTAATACTAAATGCTGTAAGTATTGCACCCAACAATCTGGGTTCTAATTTTATCAACTTCGGAATTATGAAAGCCTGAATCAACTTTGAGCCTGTCAGGATTGAACTGCTGGCTGTGGGCAGTCTGTCTGCAATACTGCATTGTAACCACTGCATCCTTTGTATTTATTTTCTAGTGACCACAGTTTTTATCCCAAGATCAATAAGGCCCAATCATTATATATATTAGGAATTTGAAATATCATATCCACAGGAAATTCTTAGATGGCATCAAAATTAGATTAAACATTTGTCAATATGCAAAACTAGAAAATAAATCATTTTAACAATTCAGTCCTTCTACAATATCATGCCATAATTCAATAATAGATGCATATGTGGCTGAAAGTGAAGGTTTAGCAAAAAATAATATATACCAGTGTCCTGCAGTCTTTATGTTGTAGATCAGAGGTGTCAAACTCAAGGCCTGCGGGCCAGATTGGGCCCATGGGGCCATCCTGGAAACAGTAAAGGACTGGCCCGTGGTGACTAAGCCAACGAAAATGGAGCTCGCGAGGGCTGCGCGCGGCCCTCCCGATCTGTTTTATTGGCAGAGGGTTGCAGGAGGCCGTCGTTGCTTGCAGAACACTCGGGCCACCACAGACACGAGTGACGTCAAGTTGGCCTCGCCCACCCTAGCCATACCCACCCTGGGCCGAGGTCAAGCGCAACCCTGATGCGGCCCTCAGTGAAATAGAGTTTGACACCTGTTGTAGATTATATAATTTCCCTTTTTAATCATTACAGTTTTATATTCAGAATTTCATACCCTTAAGGATAAGAATGCAGTTAGTTTAGATAATGACCTAAATCACATAATTAAATTGAGCCTTAACTATTCCAAGTCTCAGTCATAGGCTGGCCAGTCCTTCTAACACAGTAGTCTTTTTAATGTTTATAAAGTTCAGGCAATCCTTCAAGCCATTATGATTAAGACACAATTAGCCTAATGGTCTTGCCCTTCCACATGTTAACAAAGCCAAAATTTCTACTACCGTATTTTCCGGCGTATAAGACGACTTTTTAACACATGAAAAACTTCTCAAAAGTCAGGGGTCGTCTTATACGCCGGGTGTCGTTCTCCTGTAACCAGGCAGACCAGCCCGAAAGGCTCTGACGAGCCTTAAATGGCTCTGGCGATCCAAGCTCTGACGATCTGCTAATCAGGCAACTCAGCTGGGATCGCCAGAGCCATGGAGAAGAAAAAAACTTTTCTCCTTTCACATGGCTCTGGCAATCCAAGCTCTGACGATCTGCTAATCAGGCAACTCAGCTGGGATCGCCAGAGCCATGGAGAAGAAAAAAACTTTTCTCCTTTCACATGGCTCTGGCGATCCAAGCTCTGACGATCTGCTAATCAGGCAACTCAGCTGGGATCGCCAGAGGCATGTAGAAGGAAAAAACTTTTCTCCTTTCACATGGCTCTGACGATCCAAGCTCTGACTATCTGCTAATCAGGCAACTCAGCTGGGATCGCCAGAGCCATGGAGAAGGAAAAAAGTTTACCCCCTCCAGCTTGCTTACCTTAGCTGCTAGTCGCAACGCTTGCCTTGCTTCGCCTTGCTTCGCCGAATCCATTCCATTAGCAAGCAACTCCCTGCCTGCAATCAAGCAGGCAGGGAGTTGTGGACTTCAACTCCCAGAATTCCTCAGCCAGCAAAACAAAGCTGGCTGAGGAATTCTGGGAGTTGAAGTCTACAAGTCTTAAAGTTGCCAAGGTTGGAGACCCCTGTTCTATTGGGTAAGTTTTTTTCCCCTTTGGGATCTTTAAAAAAAATAATTAATTGGGGTTTTTTTTAGTTGTTCTTTTTTAGACCTCGCCATTTAAAGTTTAGGAAGTTTTAAATTTAGCTTTCATATAAAAATAAAAATAAAATAAAATAAAATAAAATAAAATATTTGTGCAGCTTTCTGAGATTTAGTGTGTTTTTGTAGTGTTTCACTCTAACTACAAACACACAAAATCTCACAAAGCTGTATGTGGAATTTTGTGTGTGTAAAGTGTGAAAGTTGTTTTTTTGGGCTTTTTGTGGCTGTGTGAGGTTCCTGTTTGTTTCAGGGGCCATTTTGGGTCTAGCACAGCTGCTTTTACATTGTGGCTGGGCCTGTTGTGTTGTGTTGTGTTGTGTGTGTGTAAAGTGTGAAAGCTGTTTTTTTGGGCTTTTTGTGGCTGTGTGAGGTTCCTGCTTGTTGCAGGGGCCATTTTGGGTCTAGCACAGCTGCTTTTACATTGTGGGTGAGCCAGTTGATGTTTTTTAATTTTTATTTGGTGTGCGTTGGAAGAGGGGTAGTCTTATACAGCAAGTATAGCCCAAACCCTATATTTTAACAGGAATATTTGGGGGTCGTCTTATACGCCGGAAAATACGGTAATTTGCTGAAAAAGACTGCTATTTTGCTGGACCCCAGTCCTTTAGTATACAGCCAAATTTATCAATTTCTATGGGCCTGCATTTTGAGAATTATTTTTTGATGAAAACTAGATTACCTAGAAAGTTTGAGCTAACATTTTGCTGTGATTTGTTCTTGAAAGTCTTAAGTGGTACATTCTGCTAATATTTCCTTTTTCTAAATTTTCCCAAAAGATAACTGATATAAACCAAACAAAACCTGTAGTCAAAAGCACACTTATGCATAAGCCATGCTAAACATAATTTTACAAACACCTGAATAATATATTTAAAATCTGCTTATAAAAATGCCTAAATTGAATCCTCCTTCATATCAATCTAGCTGGCAAAGTAAGTTTTGGTAAAAGAAAATGAACCACTTTCTAAAAAAGGAGCCAATCATCTTTATTTTACTCAGTGTTCTAGGGATTGAAGATTCTTCCAACTTGTTAGGAATATGACTGTCTGAACATTGGCTACCTAAACTGTTCTTGCCTTTTATTAGAACTCTGTTTTAAAGTAGAATTAAACTGTATAAGTTAAATTACCTCTGTAAAAACTACCAACTCTTCTAGGTACAGAATCATTATACAGAAGTCTATTTTCTTTTGTGGAGGCTCCATCATCTGGGTGTTGATCACGATACGTTCCACCCTTAATAAAATAATAGGTAAATTTATTAGACCAAAGAAACTTGATTGAATCTGATCATAGCTTGTTAAATTAAAAAATAAATTCCACATTAAAAATGAAAGCTGCATGTTATAATCATAGAGCCTGCCTGATATATTCAGATTAATGACTAATTCTCATTTATCCCTCTAATAAATGGTTTTTGAATGAAGAAACAATGTAAACCTTTTAAAAAATAACAAAGGCATGTAATCTACCACAGTGGATGTTAAATATACCAAATCCACTAGATTGCCAATGGAGAATCTTATTATTTGGTAACATACTGACCCTTCAATTGATCCTTGAATTTTGTTGAAAAAATATGCAATCCCAAACATTATACATAATTCAAGAGGCCATGGGTACCTGAAAAGGTTTACAAAAGATGGGCGATCCTCAGTCATTTAATAACTACTTATTTGTTAGTTTATTTGATTTATATAAGCTGCACATCTCACATAAGTGATTCTGGGTAGCTTCCAATAAAATTGCTGCAAATTAGATCAATATGCATATATTTTAAAAATTGAAATCTAATTAAGAAAATAAGGTATTTTAGAATAAAAGCACTTGATTGGAACTAATGATCTTTTTCTGTAAAAATGTCTTTTGACACATAAAATATAAATGATTTTAGCAAATCTTACCTAAATTATTTCAAATGATAATTGTTCAAATATCATCTTGTACTTAAAGTACATTTTATGTGGAAACATTTTTGTAATACATCAAATAGGCTTTATATTGTGCAAGTGTTTATTCTGATCAGTACAAATTTTTAGATCTATTATTCTACACTTCTAAGGCCAGCAGTATTTATACTGCTTTCTGATTTTTTTATACTTGTATACTTTTTATACTGTCTCCAACTAACCACATTATAATGGTATTAACAATATTCCATTCCCAGTTTATTACAGATGTTAATGTATATATTACCATGCATTTATAGTAATAGTCTCTTTTGGAAAAGAGAATTGTGTTATTAAAGTATTACAATATTCAGCTTCAATGGTAGAAAACCATAAAACAAATTGTTTCCAACATATAAATAAAGGCAACTCAGGAATTCCTACTAAAGCATTCAATTCCCAGGAAAAAGAACATATATTTCTCAAATGTATTTCTCCTCTATTTATTCTAATTTAAAACTTGAAAGATCCATAAATACTACAGTATGATGAAAATGATAACATGCATGGTGACATTATAATGGAAGCCCTGCTCTGTATTTGTATCCTCATAGCAGGGTTTATGTTGTGATGTCAGAGTATATCCCAAAGGTGCTTTTTCAGGAGGCAACTGGACTTTCTTGTTTTTTCTTTGAAGACGTTTCGCTTCTCATCCAAGAAGCTTCTTCTGCTCTAGCAGGATAGTGGGGAATGGAAGGATTTTTCCCGTGTAAGATTAATCTTACACAGGAAAAGACCCGAATACACCAAAACTTGCATATCTCTACCCGTGAAAATCTACGAAAACATATATATATATATAATTAATTTTTAAAAAATCCTTCCATTCCCCACTATCCTGTCAGAGCTGAAGAAGCTTCTTGGATGAGAAGCAAAACATCTTCCAAGGAAACATAAGAAAGTTCAATTGCCACCTGGAAAAGTACCTTCAGGACAACCATGACCTGGATGACTGAGAATCTCTACAGACTGTCAGAATACATGTTTCATCATTTGACCCCTTTTCCTCTTCCCCTGCATGCACTGACACACTCCTTTGCCACAGGTTTAGCCAATTCACCTTCAGACAAACAGCAGAAAAAGAAAAAGAAGAAAAAAACTTCAGAAGAAGAAGACAAACAGCAGACAAGACACATCAGGTAGTTATATTTTCTGGCCAGAAGTTGTCTACAATATAAATATAAATATTTTATTAAGCTTGCAAGAGAGCAAGTGCCTCCTTAATTTTAATTAATAAAATTTGAAGGGTACTTATAACACCCCCCCCCCGAAAATACCCTTAAGGGAAACTACTATTCAGTTTCTGGGTAGCCTTTGTGACACTTAATATTCAGCATTACAGATTCTAATTTCAACAGTAATATATCAATAGGCGTAATTTATTTTATATAATAAGGTAGAGGTTAATAGTATATACAATAAACTCTGGGGGTGGAGTAATTGACGAGAAAAAAAAATCAGCTGAAAAAGATATGGATTCCTTAGGCAAAAATAAAAGTTATTTTTAATAACAGGCAAACATACAGTACAAAACCATGAATGGTCCAGATCTCTAACAATCAAGAATTCAACTAACCCTATTGGAATCTTCTGTACAATCTTCACGTGAAGAGCCAACAGATCTTGTAAGAGACTTATGCTGCACCTGTGGAGATAACAGTTGCAGGCTGTTTGCTCTGGCTGCCATCCCTTGCCCTACGCTTAAGCCACCCTCTGAGCCCTTTGTCCTCACTCTGTCCCGGCTCACATACATAGAATGTCTATGAGGGCGCTGCTGTGAAGAAAAAGGACTCGTGTAGCCTAAACCATAAGAAAAAGATTCATGAGGAGCAGATGCAGAATGTAATTGGCTTCCATCCATGTGATCTGGCAATTTTAACTCATCCATTGTTTTGGAATGTCTTGTAGATGGCCTTCGTGATTCCAGTGTACCATCACTTCTATTATTTCTCCCGGAAGGACTGAGCAAAGTTCTATTGTCAGCATGACGAGCAGGTGTTGGTGTAGTAGGAGAGTTTAAGTCCAAACAGCTGGATGGAAAATACCTACTGCTATTTGATTCTGAAACTTGAATTCTGGCTTCAGACAAATTACCCACAGATTTGGAATCAGTCAGAGCTCCATGACTTTTTGATTTGGTGCGATATGAGGGGCTCTTTGAAGATTGTGGAATAGTATCAATATAACTGTGACGGCTATGCCTTTCACCCAGTTGTAGTGTGCCAGTTTTGTTCTGTGAACCTTCCATAAATGAATGACGATTATGCTGTGATCTGGAATTTGACTTCAGGTATTTAGTACCAGGACCATCTGAAGTTTTGGCTTCTGAATTAAAATCAAATTCAGTTTTTGTCTTTACTTCTTTTGGACTGAGAAGATGTGGTATGTTGTTATTAGCTAGATCTTTACTTCCAGATGAAGGAGTATTGTTTGTCTTTTTTGACAGCATTGGACTGTGAGAGTTTACCGGGAGATTTCCATTTAAAAAGCTTTCATTTGTTGAAAGGGCATCTTCTCTTTGCAGTCCCACAGTCTGTAATTCTTTGCTGTTTGATCTGTGATGAGACTGCACAGCAGTACCTTTGCCAGATTGATTTCTATATTATGAACAGACAAGAAAAGTTTTACCAAATTAGTTAAAAACACCTTTATAGTCTTGATATAGAAAATAAAGGTCATGTGATCATATTTCTTCACAGTATTATCCAATAGTCCAGATCACTAAACTATGGCAACTGTTCTAACTTGGCTATATTTTGGATCTCCCAAAATTCAAGGATTTGACACACTTATGTCACACCATTGCTAAGGCAGAATTCTTTAACTAAGTGATTCTATCGATGAGCAATAGATTTCACCAAGTACTTGATCCAGAAAATATATGGGCTTTAGGGCCATCTCTGTTTAGTGTAGAAGTGAATCTGATACTCTGAAGTATCAAGACAGAATCTTATCATCCAGAAAGCAAACCAAATCTAGGTTGTTCTACTTTTCTTTACTATATTGAAGACACCAAAAAAGTGCTATGTTTGATAGTGGCCTAATTGTATTACTTAATTTTAGCAAGTTATATCTGAAATAATTAGAATGCTGACATTATTATTTTCAGTCATGTACCTGCTAGTTAAAGTGTTGCTATCTCCATGGTAAGGCTTTCTTTTAGTTGACCGTGAAGGTGAATGATCTAACATCCTCTGAGTTTGAAATGATGGATGGTTCAGACACTGTTCTGTTAAATATCGGTCAGCTGGATCCAGTTTCAGCAAGTTCTTTAGGTCAAATATTAAGAATGAAGAAACATTACATAGTAATAGATGTGGTTGCTGCTAGTTACAGTATAACTTTACAAATATATGCAATTGAAAATTATTTATCATTCCCACTCTTACATAAAAATGTTGACTCTAAAATCTGTTCTTAAAAAAAAACACCCCATGGCAATCTTCTATAGTATAAAATATACGTTTATATGCGGATTTACATAATTCATAAAAATTACACAGCAAATTTCTTTTGCTATATGGTTGTAAGAAAATCTTATAAGACCTTGCTTTATCTGATTTTTCACATTTATTACATCATTAACAATATATTAAAATTATTTAATGGGTGCTATTAAGGAAAAAAATTCCATACAAAATCTGAAAATAGTTCTACCTTGTTAAAAATATGCAGTTGTGTTGATTTCAGGGGAAACGGGGGAAATGAAAAAAAAATCCTATCTCTGTGCCTTCCCCATACCATCTCAAATGTCTGAAGTAATTATATTTTCAAATTATTCATAAATAGGATTATGCAGGACTATTAACATATAGCTAAATTACAGTCTCCTCCCTCCCTCCCTCCCTATCTATCTATCTATCTATCTATCTATCTATCTATCTATCTATCTATCTATCTATTCTGTAAATTTAAACAATCAACATTCCTACCTTCATAAGGTCAAGTAAAAAACCACTTAAAATTCCCAAATATCTCCTTTCCAATGATTGTGGATGGTTGACTGCAGGAAACTGTAATACAGGTTACATATAACTCACATAGAGAACTGGCATTTACCAATTATTTAAAAATTTTTAGCATTATATCCTAACAAAACAAGAAAAACAAAAACGTTAAAAGTAAATTAAATAGTAGCTCAAAAGATAATTTCCTTGTCAGACCAACAACAAACTGTGCTATTGATGATGTAGGATTAGATTCCCTATGTTTCTTAAAAAGCTAACAGAAGCTTTGTTGGTAAGGAGATACAAGTAGTCCTTAATTTTCAACCTCAGCTGGAACTTGAATTTCTGTCACTAAGTGATGTGGTTGTAAAGCATGACATCACATGACTGTATTGCTCTTATAGTGACTGAACTTTCAGGACTTCTCCTTGCCATTGATAAGCAAATTTGACCAGGTTTGGACCCTCCCAGCCCTGAGCCTCAATAAGGTAAGGAACTGCTTCCAACCCCCGCATCTGCATATCTCCCTTCATCTCTGTTCATTTGCAGCCCCAGAACTGCAGCACACCAAGAAATCTGCAATGTGGCAAGTAGCCCCAGAGCTGCGGAGCCCAATAGTATGCTGCAAAGTCATCATGCCCAGGAAGCTCCAACAGCTCAGCACAAAGCCACAATATCCCAGGAAGCATTCCAAGATGCACTTGCCACCCTGTACTCCAAGGCCCATCTGACCTTTGCCACATGATCTTCCTGGCCCTTCACAAGGCTGCTGCTGGCCCTGTGAGGCCACCTTTCCCAGTCTCACAACAACAAATGTGCTATTTGGAGGACACAGCGTGCAATCTGGAGAGTAGAGTGAACAGTTTTAGGGTACGGCCAGGTTGGGCATGCCTTATCACCAATGGCAAGAAGATGGCGAAGATCAGTTGGGCAAGGCAGGGCCTGTGGAATGCAGGTAGGGCTTGGGGCTTTGTGCTGTGATGGCTGATCATGGTTTGAGACTTGAGGCAGCATTCCTCAATGGCAGCTGTGACACTGAAGCTGAATTAGTAACTTTGAAAGGTTGTTGAGTGAACGGTTGTAAGTTGAGGACTACCTGTATTGAATACAAGCAATATTTATCCATTTATTTATTCTAATGACTGTTCAGTCTATTAATTAATGAATTGTAATGTGCAAAATTTCTCCAAACATGAATTATGAAATGCTCCAATCTGAATTTTTCAAAAATCTTGTATACATGGAGACAAGACAAAAAACATTTCCAATCATCACAACACTATTAACATGTGTCATAAATATATTCTTTGCCATACCCGTAGAAACGAAAATACACATTAATTGTATAAAAGCACTCCCTGTACTTTTATCTTATTTTTTATCCTTGCTTTTGTCTCTCTGTTTGTCATTCAGTTCTAATTCCATTTTAATTATTTTTTCATATGATTTTATGATTTTTTTATTTGTAAACCACCCAGTCATTTAGATAGTGAGATGGGCAGTGTCTAAGTTTGATAAATAAATAAAATAAAGAACAGTATTGGGAGAATTTTGGTAGAAAGACTTCATGCAGATTCACTACTAGAAAACATGCATGGTACATTTAAGCTAAACATTACCCGTAGGCCATGGAAACGGGGATTGCTGTAGAAAAGCTTCATTTGTTCCGCAGGAAGTGGTCCTAATACCTTCTGAATTGTAAAAAGTTGATCAATTTCACTTTCACCAGGAAATAGTGGCTGCCCATCACTAAGTTCCCCCAGAATACAGCCTACTGACCACATATCTACAGACTTGCCATAAGGGGCCCTGGAAAAAAAAAAAAGCGTATTGTGCTATTGCTCCTTGATCTCATATTCTTATAACATACTTAAGTATTTTACCCTGCATTGGTTTTTAAAAAATAGAATCAGTATCAAAGATCATCAGACATAAAACACAAACTTCCTTTCAGTAGTTTGCTCTTTATTATAGCTACAATAGTCACAAGTGCACATTTAGCATATGCGAAAAAATATAGAAACTCTACATTTTTAAAAACAGATTGGACCAACTGCCCTTGACTTTTTAATAATATTCACACCAAGAAATAATGGCTCTGAAGGACAAAATTAATGTTCTTATTTATTTTTCTTTCCAAGGAATTTAGAGTTAAACTGAAAAGGTAGAAATTAACATGCAGATTAAAATATATTCTTTAAGTCAATCTTGTTTCCTAGTGGCTTCATGGACATATCTGCATAATTTTCTTGAGAATACATTAAAAGATTTGCCTTGTGTTCTTCCATTATTTTTTATTCTCCCAATCCATCCTCTGTGTCCTTATCTACTAATATAACAGAATGAAATTATTCAATAATTATGCCTGATTAGCTTTAGTTTATAAAGGTAAAGGTTCCCCTCGCACATATGTGCTAGTTGTTCCCGACTCTAGGGGACGGTACTCATCTCCATTTTAAAGCCGAAGGCGTCTGAAGATGTCTCCCTGGTCATGTGGCTGCATGACTAAATGCCAAAGGCGCACGGAATGCTGTTACCTTCCGACCAAAGGTGGTCCCTATTTTTCTACTTGCATTTTTTACGTGCTTTCGAACTGCTAGGTTGGCAGAAGCTGAGACAAGTAACGTGAGCTCACTCTGTTACGCAGCACTAGGGTTTCGAACCACTGAACTGCCGACCTTTTGATCAACAAGTTCAGCATCTTCTTAGCCACTGAGCCTTCCCTTAAAGCTTTAGTTTATAGTTTGGGTCATAAACTTCCCTAGTTACTGTGAAGACAACATTTTAGATCATTACACAAAACTTGTAATTTAAAGAAAGGTTTTCAATATGCATTTGTCCTATTAAATCATGGAATACATAAATTAATCATTGTTAATAAGAGATATTGAATCATACTTTCAATTTCCACAGGCCATCTTTGCTCTATTTGAAAATATATATTAGCAATATGATCTTTAAATACTATACTTTAAAAGAAAACAAATCCTCAATTCAACTCTTGCTATCAAAACTAGGCAATTGACAAGAACAGCTAAAGTAATAATGAACTGGGCCTATTAAACAGACCAATGCTGAAGAGTGTAAATGTATATTATATATATATACATTTGTATATATGTAAACGTATATTATATATATAAAACACACAACAAACACACACACACACACATATATAAAATTATAATTATGTCACATTATTTATAAATTCTAAGTTTACTTACCCTAGCAAGAGTTCAGGAGAACGATACCATCTGGTGGCAACATATTCTGTATAGTTCGCATTGCTACCTTCTGACAAATTCCGTGCAAAACCTTCATTAAAATAATATTAAAGTGATCTTAATGTGTTGGTAATTTAGTAATTTATTATCTTTTTAATCCTGAAATTCCATGTATGGATAAGGTTTTTTTAAAATTAGAAAGAATAAAACACTATAACATATTTATTAATCAGAAAAAACCTTGACCATTTGAAATTGAATATTAAAAGGAAATGAAAAATTCATTTGTACTTGAAGATTACTTTATATATCACCATATACATTCAGGTACATTAATGAAATGAAATATTAAAGTTTCCAAATCCAAACTATATGTGTATCAACATCTAGTTCCATGATGGTGAGCCTATGGCACACGTGTCAGAGGTGGTACACAGTGCCCTCTCTGTGGGCATGTGAGCTGTCGCCCCAATTCAGCTCCGCCGCGCATGTGTGCGTGCCTCCCACCAGCCAGCTGGTCTTTGTGTCTCTGCCACGCATGCACAGGGGGCAGGGCACATGTGGGGGTGCACACACATGCGCAGGGTGCATGTGCAGGACACATTTGCAGGGGTCACATGCGCAGGGGTAACATGCGTAGGGGCACATGCACAGGGGGCACATGTGCATTGCATTTTGGGGGTTTGGGCACATGCATGCTTTGGGCACTCAGTCCGGAAAAGGTTAGCCATCACTGATCTAGTTCTTTGGACAGAATAATAACTTCATTGGATATGCAACTTAAAAGGTTTGATCATGGTATGTGCCATTTTCACATTAAAACTGTAAATTTAGATAAATGCTCAGGTGATTAATTCTACAGTTGTAAATGAGTGGGAATTACCTCAGTCACAAAAAATGAAATAGAACCTGAATCACCATAGTATAGTTGTTGTGGCCCGTCAGCGGCCTGTGCAGATTGTAGCTGATTCTGACAATGAGGAGGTCGGTGTAGTGCTGCGCCAGCAGCCTGTGCAGCTGGCATTCGAGTCAGACAATGAGGAGGCTGGAGAAGATGTGGTGCCAGAGGCAGGGATTCAGCCAGGGCCTTCAGAACCTCCAGAAGCTCCTCAAAGTGAAGAGGACGAAGAGGAGGAGCCTCTTCTCGATGCACGGGTATGCAGAGCTGCCAAAAGGCAGGAGTGGCTCCTCAGAAGGAGGTCTCCTCGAGAGTAAGGCTTGGGACTAATGGCCACTCCCTTAGCCTATTTAAGGAGGAACGCCGACTGAAGCAATTTGTAGGGAACAACTTTAGTTCACTCTCCTTCGCGTCTGGATTCTCTGTAAATTGCTTCTGGGCTTTCTACCAACCATAGTAAGATTGTGATTACTTTATCTTTGGTTTCTTGTAGGCTGTTAAGAAAGTTTATTAACAACCTTTGTTTGAAAAAGACTGAGTTATTTTAGTAAATTTGAGTTTGGTACAGACTTTGTGTGTGCTGTGTTCTTTGGGGTTCGTAGCTGGGGCAGAACAATAGTAGTAGTGTGCATTTGTTAAAAGTGTTATATTCTTAGTGTTCTTCAATTTTCTTAGTATCAGAAAAACGCACATGTGCTTCAGCAGATGCTTCTAATTAAGCAAGCAAAAAGCACAATATAGAATACTTGGGTGATATACTTGCAATTTTTAGAGTCTCTTATGTATAGTGTTTCTAATCTTATCAGACAGCTGGAAAAAAAAGATACACTGTCCAGCTAATTTCTAGTATTACAACAAAAAGTATTGGCACTTATTCTCAGGGTAATATGTGTTAAGGCTACAGCTTTTAAAGTCAAAAGTTGCCGTCGTTTAATAGATAAACTCACTAAATGCTTTATCCAGCAGACAGACAGACAGGCAACCTATCTTTCATTGTGCTTGAACAGTCTTTCAAATACCATATAAGAGTATAAGATGGACTTCCTCCCCCTAAAAAAGGCTGAAAATTTGGGTGTGTCTTATACTCCGAATGTAACCCCGTCCACCCGCCAGCCCCCACCCTTTGGCCTCTGCACATCCTCTTCCTGGCTGTAGAGATTGCCACTGACAATGGCTTGTGTTTATGGGCTCCGTGCATTGCATTTTCAGCCTCCAAACTCTCCGTTTGAGAGCCCTTCAAGGCTGTGGGGATCACCAAAGCACATTGCTGCCGATCGCTGCCCAAAAGCACGATGCGTTTAGACGCTAAAAATGCGATTTGCGGTGCCCAAAATGGCTAACCGGAACAGCTGTTCCCTTCTCTTACCCCTTCCGTGCTTTGCCTGCTTTAGTCACTGGAGCTCCCTCCGATGATCAGCTGTGCTTTTGAAACTGTTTTTCAGCCCCAACGCAAGCGAAGTGATCTTCTGTGCTTTGCCTACTTTTCTAATTGCTGCTCCCTCTGACAATCAGCTGTGCTTTAAAAGCTGTTTTTTAGCCCCAACCAGCCCCAACCTCAAAACCAGCGACTAATGTGCTGAAGCTGACCAGGCTAAGGATGCTAGCCAAATGAATACCTGGTAGGCATAATTTTTTCCCCCTATTTTCCTCCCCAAAAACTAAGATGTGTCTTATACTTCGATGCGTCTTATACTCCGAAAAATACGCTAAATTTCTCTGCCATTAATTATCTCTTTTACTGAAGCATTTCACAATTTTTTGAATTTTTGACTGACCTACCCCCAATGGGGTCAGCACTTTAAGACACTAGGAAAAATACTAAAAATACAAATAGATTTCTTGTGTTCTAGTTATACAGGTAGTCCTTCACGTATTACCATTTAACAATGGCTTAAAGTTGTAACAGAAAAAGTGATTTGACCTATGCTCACATTTATGACCCATGGTCATGTAGTCACAATTTGGGTACTTGGCAACTTGCTTGCATTTACAATCTGTTGCAGTATCCTGCAGTCATGTGATCGCAATTTGCAAACTTCCACTGGGAAAACTGGATTTACTTAATAATTGCATGATTTGATTAATGATCATGGCAATTTGCTTAACAACCGCTGTAAAAATTGTTGTATAATTGGATCTGACTTGCCTTATGATTGCAATGACTTACAATGGAAATTCCGGTCCCAATTATGGTCATAAGTCAAGGACTACCTATACAAATATTAATTTTAGTATCAGTAAAACTGCATTTCCCAGTAATAATAACCAAAATATTGCTAACCAGTAGAACACTACTGTTTAGAACACTGACTTATGATATCCAGATAGCATACTGATGGAATGTGTTTTGGATTCCCAAGAAGGAGGGTCTGCATTCCAGAAGAACAAAAGATAGCAAAATTTAGATAATTTGGTTGGCAGATAAAGGGTCAAGACAACTCCTCCATCGGGGTGAAATGCTACTGGTTCACACCGATTTGGGCGAACCAGTAGTAAAAAAAAGCTACCAGTTCATCCAAACCAGCATTTCCGGCAATCCGCTGTGCTGTGCGATTTATATTCGCTAGGAATCAGGAAATCCTGCTTTCTAGCGAATCTAAATCACACAGCACAGCTGTTCCCCCCCCTCGCTGTTCTACTTACCTTGTTAAGCCTCCTTTTTCTGCACAAAGCACGCATTTGGTATGCACTGTGCATGCATGCGCATGCAGCGTGCTTTTGGCGCACAATGCACATGTGCGGGCGTGAACCAATGGCAATCCATGGAGGATTTCACCACTGTCCTCCTTGGAAGTTCTCAGAGTATATTTTTAATGATGCAAGTAGTTTGTTTTTAGCTTTGAAGACTGTCTATGGGTGCAGAACAATGAAGGAAACTACTTAGGAAAAAAAACTGTGGTTTTCTCAGTTTTTTAGTATTTCAGTATTGTATTAAACTATAATTTAAAAGGTTATTTACTGTCATAAAATAATTCAAATGATAAAGAATTGTAATAAAGATATCTAATAATAAAGCCTTACCAAAGTCACACAATTTCAAAATATCATTGTGGCTTATTAGAAGATTTTCTGGCTTAATATCTGAAATATTCAAACGCACAGCAAAAAGTTAACGAATTGCAATATATACACTGTTCTGCATTAACAGGTAACTGAAACAGTATAGCATATTATTTATTTACTGCATTTATACTCACCTTTTCTCCAAACACTCAAAACCACACATTTTGGAAGGGAGGGTTCCCCTAATTTTAATTCCACAACAATAGCCTTATGATGTAATTGGGCTGAGAGAGAATGACTGGCCTGAAGTTACCCAGCTGGTTTTTATGCCTAAGGGACACTTAGAACTCATAGTCGCCTGTTTCTAGACTAGCACCTTAATCACCACAGCAAACTGGTTTTCTTTCAAATTCAGGAAATTTTTGTAAGGAACTTTCAGTAATAGATATATAATGGCCAAACTTCAAACTGAAATTGTGGGTGCTCCAATACCAAGGGGTTTTAAGAAGAGATTGAACAACCTGAAATGGTATAGGGTTTCCTGCTTGACGAGGGAGTTGGACTAGAAGACCTCCAAGATCCCTTCCAACTGTTACTCTGATGAATTTTAGTAGCTAATGACTTCTCACTTTCCAGAAGTTACTGAAGCATGATCATAGAACAACCAATAGAAAGTATATTGGAATAATAGTTACTAAACTATTTTAACTATTTTAGTAACTAAAATAGTTACCAAAATAGTCAGTTTAACTAAATGTCTATACTAAAAGAAAACTTAATACTAGTTTGGGGAAAATATTTAGTTTTTAAACCTGAAGTTCAGTAACAGATTAAATTCAATTATGAATACATTTTAGTGAAGTTACAGTTACAAAATTTATAAAGAATGATCAATAAAAAAATGTATTAATGATAAAGAGACATGAGCAAAATGAAAATCACAAATTATTCACAAAGAGTATGTTATTTAGATTCATTAAAATCAGTGGGATTTCTTAGCTAACTCCCATCAATTTTACTTTAGAAATGCATGTATGTTTTACTTATTATCGTAAAGAAAATTTTGCCTCGTATTATTTTAAATTAACAAATAGATAATAAATTTATAATAATTGGTGAAATCAACTTTCTTGATAAAAACATATTTATGCTTTCAGGAAAAGATACTGTTTAAAGTTTAATTTACTTACCTCTATGAACAATATCATTTTTATGACACCAATGAATTGCTTTAATCAGTTGGTAGATATAACTTTTTACTTTTTCAGGAGGGACTCCATTTGGCATTTCTTCTAGCAACTCAAGCATATTCTATGTTCAACATAATTAAAGACAGAAAGAACTAAATTACAAACTCTGCAATGTATTAAACAACCATTAATGGCTTGTAATAGGGTCCTCTTATACAAGAGGAACCAAAAGAAGCATTCAACATGATCATGTAATTTATACAATATAAAAGGCAAATAAAAATAATTTCTAAAAGCAGCAAAGATTTAACAATGCATAAAACAAAGCACAATAAAACCTAAAGCAGCAAATAATCTTCTCTATTAAAATAACAATCAGCAATAATATTATGTTATAAATCTGTACACCAACTATAGAGCAATTCAATTGGTTTTAAGAAAATGCATATTCACCAATTTCCCCCTAAGAATAATGTGTTTGTTTGAACTTGGTTTAACAAATATTGTGACAACTTAGCCACTGTAGTTTATAAACCATAACTATAATTTATACATTAGCTTATTACATAAATCTAGGACTATTGCTTCATCAATTAACTATATATAAAATGCTATTCCTTATTTAATATATAAAACAAATTATATTTACTTTCCAGTGAAAAAGATAAAATATAGTTGAAGGTTGTTTTCAGCCATAAATAAATAAAACAGGATAAACTATTCCCCCCAATGTCAAATTTTAAGTTGATCATAAAGAAAAATTACTGCAAAGACTTAATATTACTAAGACTGCTATAGAATACTAATGGGCTGTCAAACTTGCAGCCCGTATAACAGGGCTGTCAAACTTGCAGCCCGTGGGCCAGATGCGTCACACACTGGCCATGCCCGAGCCCAGTTTAGCGAAGGGGAAAAAAGTCCCAATACATCACGTGATGCCACCGTGACAATGCGAGTTTGACACGCCTGTTGTATAACATTTTTATACATAAAACATATTTGAAGTTTAACCATTTGTATTCAGGAACACCTTAGCGTTTTTTTCCTAAATAAATAACTTACTTTCTCTACATATTCAAACACCAAATACAATTTTCCTCTTCTTCTAAAAGCTTCTTTTAGTTCTACAATATTTTCCTGCTTCAAAGTACGAAGCATTTTAAGTTCTCGTAAAGTTGTTTCTTTGACCTCTTCATTTTCTATAAGTTAAAGAGTGAAAGGTTGTAAAATATATGCAACTCTTTTCCCAAAACCTGTAGAAAACTCTGTGATCGCTAAGAACTGACACTGACTTGATAGCACATAATTAATCAATCTTTAAATCCTCTCTGAGAAACAAACTGTTAGCCTAAATAGTCTTGTTCAAAATTTCACAAAAAGCAAGCTTCATATTACATTTCATACTAAGCTATAAAATAGTTTCTTTTATTTTGGCTTAGTATAATGGAGGTTATTTGGCTAAATCATTTTAATTCAGCCACTATGGATTATTCAAACAAATCACTTTCTTTACATAAGAGCCCAGCAATAAATATTTATAATTCTTATAAACTGATTATTAAACATATTCATCAAAATTATGAAAAACAAATTTAATTTGAATTTTTATTCCCCTTAATAAAAATGTAAAAACGTTGTGCACTATTTAATACATTTCATTAGTGAGATATGTCTATTATATTGATGAAAAAAAATATTACGTATTACAACATTTTATCTATAGTGAAATAGTATTTCAAGAATATTACATTTTATCTATTAACAAATATTATTAGTAGTGAAAGATATATGAATACTACATGAGAATTTATCTATTTAGTATATTATTATAAGATTAGCTATTATAACAAAAATGTTTTATAGCAGAGCAACAGTAAATAATAAATCCCACAATTTATCTTCCTCTTCTAAACTATTCTTCTATGGCTGCCTTATTTTTCAATGTTTTTATTTTTTTATATTTATTTTTCATATTTCTTAACTATCCATTTCCCTCAAAGAATGCTGTTGCTGAGCTGTGTTTGATAAGTATTACTCTAAAATTCTGCCTGAGATAAAAGCACCTAAAAATAATTTTTTGGCATTTTTTAAGGAAAATACATTATCCAGAAAAAATGGTAAATGCCTGTGTATTTATAGTCCCAGGTCAATAGAGAAATGCTTATTTGTTGTGCAAAATATGATTCCAAATGGGGTACTGCATTGAATAGAGGCCTTTTGCTTAAAGTTATATTGTAATATTGCTAAGTATAAATATTAAAACAAGGCTGGTTCAGCTCTATTTAATGAGAATTAATCCTGAGTAAATATGATAAAAGAATATTTTTACACTGAAGATAAACTTCTTTTACAAGCATTAATATACTAAAGTTTCCAAAACCAAGCCAAAGTAAAATCAAGAGAATAAAGGCCAAATAGAAAGATAATTTGCATAAATGTTAATCTCATGCTTTTATAGTGAAAATCCTGAAGAGGGGTACCAACAGCTCTGGAATTAGGCCTTTGGTGCCAGTCCATACTACTTATAAAACAGAGGGAAAATATTCTTGCTGAAATTCATTTCATTTTTTTCTTCTGTTCAATTGTGTTCAATTCTCAGAGACTGCCTGGACAAGTCCCTACAGTTCTTTTGACAAGGTTTTTCAGAAGAGGTTTGTCATTGCCTCCTTCCTAGGGCTGATTGTGGTTAAGTGATCACACACGGATCATTAAGTGGATCAAGTCCCAGATCAGGAGCATGGGGTGCCCCTGGGGAAGGGAATGAGTATGCAGGGGTGCAGAAATGGAACACAGATCTTCAGGATCTGAGCTCCATTTCTCTACCCTGCCAAAGAAGCTCATTCAGCCCCCAGTACCCAGAGGAAGCCCACTTGGAAGGCAACAGCAGCTTGCCACTGCCCTGCTGGCTTTCCCACTGACTTTCTGGGGAAGCCAGCAGAGAAGATTGCAAATCGCAATTATAAGATAATGGGGCATTTGGCCACTGCCCCTAAGTGTGAACAGCCTGTCAAACACCCAGATCACAGTCACATGACTCTGGGGGGATGGGTACATTTTATGATGGCCAGAACTGCTTTCCAGGCTGTAAAGCACTCTTTCGAAGGCTGTCAGTACTTTGTGTGTTCATTAAATGACCAGTCATAAGTCAAGGACTACTTGTACATCAAATTGGCTCTCAATTCATTTCAGGTTCAATGCAAAATGAAAGAACATTTGTTATTAGTGCAAAAGACTCTCTTCTAGAACTCTTAAAAGTGAAACCAGAATCAGGAGATATTATTTGCTAGTTATTATTTCTTCAAGGATCTAGAATCATACACAGTTCAACTACATATTTTTCTGAATTAAATTTCTGCTGATATGTACACATAACAGACTCTGACTCAGCTATCTAGATAAGTAATAAATTGCTTATCAGGAAACATTTCAGATTATTCAGATTTATTCTGAATATACAGTAATCAAATCATAGTGAAATCTATCTGAAATATGGTAATACCATAGTAAGAATAATTTAAAAATGCTGGCTATATTTTCTAATGAAACAGAAGCTCATTAATAAATTCAGTGTTTATTACTGCAATCTCACTTATCTGGAGGTGCCAAGTTGAGAAAGGCAGGTCTGAACCAATACAGACATGTAGAAAGCTTGCATATTAAGGAGTATCTCCACCATCTATCCAAGAAGTTTTGAAATAAAACTCTGATCTCTTCATAGTTGATATGTTGACACAGGACAATAAATACTTATACTCCTGCACTATTCCAAATCTTGGATAAGAACCTATTAATTAAAAAAGTAAATGCACTATATATTCAAATAGAAAAAAGTACCTTCACTGTCTTTGAATTTTTTAATGGCCACAATTTCATGTGTCTCCTAAAAAAGAAAGAAAAAATATCTTCACCAGAAAGAATAATCATATTTTTAGTTAATAAATACTTGATACCATATTGTGCTACAGATTTCTAGTCATGCATAGAGTTGCAATTTGAAGCAGAACTTTTATAGTAATTTTTTAAATTGGAGAATAGCTTTCTACCAAATTATTTTAACATTATTTAGTTTACACTTGGTGAGGTAGACTTTTGTTCTTGCTGGTAGTTTTCAAAGCAAGTGAATAAAGTTATTTCTGCTATTGTTTTGTATACATGTAAGGAAGAGAACTGTACAAAAGTACTGTTAATCACTAAATGATTAATTATTAATCATTTAAAATTTTATTTTTATTTTTATTTTCTACAGAGATGACAGAAGCTTGGCATTAAATTTTCTATAAGAGCCTAGTCCTCACCGCCATCCATCTTTGCAACTGAATTACATAAATTATTTTAATACTGGTTCTTATAACAGAATGCTTAGTTAAGGTGATAATTGATCATCTAGACTGATCTTCAGTAGTTTAGCACAGACCAATAAAATTGATACTTGGCTGAGAGGAGATCAATGTTGTGAAGCGCCAAACTTGATTCAGAAGGGATTTTATATTTATTTCTAACAGGAAACCATCTTCATTTTTCCCCATATAATGACTTACACATTTGGAAAAATCACTATACAAAAAAATTTAAATCCACAATATCATCTTAAAACTTGATGCCCATAAACATTTATAGAAATTTTCTCTTTTCTTTTCATTTATCTATTGTTCAAAGCAAATATTGCTTTCTTGGGCCTGAAACCAGATTTATACTTGTACACTTGTGAACGTTTTGTTTGCAAAATATATACAATAACCCAATACTATCTTGCATTTATCCCCTCAAGATGACATGCTCAGTCGCACGGCGATCTTTTTCTCCTGTGATGACCCGTTGATTCTTCTGCCAAAGCTGGCTGTTAGGTGGCATTGCTCCCCAGACGTGAACGGGGCACCCAGGATTGATCCAAGATGACTTTTGGACAACTGTGGACCAGGGGTGGATTCTACTTACCTTTACTACTGGTTTGCAAGGGGAACGCGCGCTCACACACTTCTGCGCAGATCGTCAATTATGACGTCCGGGCGGGTGGGTGGAGCCTCATGCCGCTTTTACTACTGGTTCTAAAGAACCGGACAGAACCAGGAGCAACCCACCACTGCTGTGGACCCATCTGAGAAGACAAATCTTGAAGATTGCAGTTTCTGGTAGGAGAGGCCGGAAAGTCAGGTTTCCATCTTTTCCTATCATCTGATCACCTTGGTTTTAACTGCACTTTTTAAAGTTTCTTTTGTACTTTCTTTTTTATTCTTAAAAGTTAATGGACTGGTTGAATGCTAATTTATTCTAACTCCTTGCCTGATTTTAACATGAATTTTTCTCTGTTCTTTGTTTCACTTTGCTGCTCTCAGTAATTTTTGCTTTCTGTATGGAAATCACAGCAATTTTCTGGGTACTGAAAGTGACTGGATTTACATTTATAGTGTATTTTCACTACAGAGACTCTCACTCTCAAAAAGTTTTGGTCTTATTTTTGGACCAAATTTCCTCCTTTTTTCTTTAACTATTTTAACTGTGAGAAATATCATTTTAAGGTTCTCTGCAACTATCCTGTTAATTACATTTAACTCCCCTAATGTCAGCTAGCCTGCTGTTAGCTGCCATGGGAGTGGGGTCAGTGGAGAATTTTTCATTGCACCTTTGTAACCATGGTTTGGGCTTTGGTTATCTCTCCAAGGTCATTTTTTCTAGCTTTGGTATGCAGCAGCCAGAGTTGCCTAGCTACAAGGATATTTGGCTCTATAGTTTGTTTCAATTTGCTTTTTGTGCGCTTTTGCCTCAGATCTTGCCTGAAACTTGTTGCATTCAGTTCTCTCCTAGTAAAAGCACCTTTTCTCTGAATCTATGGAGCCAAGAGTTTTTCTTTCCTATGAACAGAGGCAGCCCTGACACCTGTCCTTGAAGAACTGGTTAGCTTTGGTTGCTAAGCTACAGGAGGGTAAACAACGCACCAACCTAAAGGTAAAGCGCTTTGAGAAGACTTGGGGGAAAATGTTTTTTAGCCTACAAGTTCAAATTAAAGACTTTGGTAAAAAGTTTGATAATGTAACAATGATTTTAAATCAACCCAAAGAGGATATCCAGATACAAGCAACTGCAGCCAAACCAGATTTATAACAGGAGCTTGGTTTGAAAGTGGTGGATGTATTTGAGAAGGCTAAAAGGGATAAGGACTTTACAGAATTGGAGTTGACAGACTCAATTAGTGATAAATCGGATAAATCGGAAAATTGATGGTAATTGGGGAATGGACATATTATATTCAATCGAAAAAAAAATTCAGCTAGATTTTTTTGGGGAGGATTGATGTTATGTTTTTGTTTACAGAGAGATTTTTTTGAATGACTGAAGCTGTGGAGATACTCATAGCAAAGCTTTATGACTTTAGGGGATAAGATGCAATTGTTGCAAAACTCCCTAATCAAAATTTTAAGAAAAAGCTTTATTATTAAGAAGCAAACGAGGATATTTGATCCTGGACAGATCAGAGATAACAGTTGTGGTTTATTTATTTATTTAGTGTACGGCAACAGTTGTGGTACTTTGTAATAGATAAAAAGTGGTAGCAGACTTTCTACAAGTTAAATACAATAATAGAGTGTTAACAGAGGATTTTGCTTTTGCTTTACTGTAAACTGCTTTGCTTTTATAAACACTAGATAAAAATAATAGGTCAAATAAGTTGCAAATAGATATAAAAGTTTATAAACTTGGGCCTGCTTCACAATGGGGTAAACTAACATTGTTGCAATATATTTATAAGTATTCAACTAGGGGGATAATACATTTATATGTGTTTTTGTCTTTTGTCTTTTTTAGCGTACTTTTTTCAATGTTATATTTATTTATTTATTTTTGGTAAAAAAAAATTGTTTAGTATTACTGAGAAAGAATACTATTTTGTATTTATCCAAAGGAAGAAGGAGCTTGTATTCAGGCTTATTTCCTACCAAAATAGGAGATAAAAGAATAAATGACCACTAACAAAAATCCTATAGAATCCTCCCTATCAATCTAGGATGGGGCGTTAGTCCTACCTGATACGCACCTTCTCGTTGGATGGAGACAACAGCCAGGAATGGGTGGTTCTCACCTGTTCAGCTTGAAGGACTGAGACTGTTGCAAAAGTTGAGCTCCTCCCTTGTTGCTAGGGATCTCCAGCTTTTACGAAGATGAATAACAGCCTCGAAGTCTCGGCAGAAAGAAATAGAGGTTAACAAGGAGACCAGACAGTCCAAGGGTGGGGCTGGCTGCTGTCTCCACCCAATGAGAAGGTGCATATCAGGTAGGACCAACGCCCCTTCTCCATTGTGGGTGGAGACAGCAGCCAGGAATGGGACATACCAAAGCTTAGTGTCCCAACTACGGACGGGTCCTAGTCTGGTTCTAAGTCTCCGCATCTGAGTGAACCCGCTGCAGAACCCTGCGACCAAATGCCGCCTCCGCCGAAGCAAACTGGTCCAGCTTATAGTTCCTAACAAAGGATGATGATGACATCCATGTTGCCGCCCTGCAGATCTCAATCAAGGATGCTTGCGTGGCCCAGGCCGCAGAAGTAACCGCACTACGTGTGGAATGAGCCGTTAGACGTGATGGTCATGGCAAGGAACGCAGTTCGTATGCCTTGGCGATCATCTGCTGAATCCATCTGCCAATGGTGGAAGAAGAGACCTTGGAACCTAAAGACACTGGAATAAAAGAAACAAACAAGGACTCCGTCCTGTAGACGGTAGCCGTTCTCTTGAGATAAATACGAAGAGCCCTCCGCACATCTAACGTATGCCAGCGCCGTTGTAAAGGGTGAGTGGGATGCGGGCAAAAATTTGGGAAGACCAGGTCCTGCATGCAATGGAATGTCGTATTGACCTTTGGAATGAAGGAGAGGTCCAGACGAAGGACCACATGGTCAGAATGAAAAATGCAAAGGTCACTACTTGCAGAAAGGGTGGCAATCTCTGAAATCCGCCTGGCGGAGGTAATGGCCACCAAAAAAGCGACCTTGCATGACAGCAGATGGAGGCTGGCAGTTTTTAAGGGCTCGTATGGGGGTTCTGTAAGGGAGTTCAAAACAATGGTTAGATCCCAGGTGGGATATCTGTGAACCATGGGGGGGGGGCATAAGTTAGTCGTTCCCCGCAGTAATCTACGAATCAGAGGGTGTTGAGACAAGGAGGCAAGGGACCCATAAGTGAGAACCGTAGAGATAGCCGCCACCTGTCTCCGTAGAGTATTGGGTGAAAGTTCCCTCTCGAGCCCGTCCTGTAGAAATATCAGGATGTGAACAATTGAGGCCTGAAAGGCAGAAACCCCCATATGGTCACACCAAGCACAAAAGGCCCTCCAAGTGGCCAAATAAATGCGGTCTATGGACGGCCTCCGGGACGCCTGGATGGTCCGGATAACCCTGGAGGGAATGTTGTCCTTACTCAAAGCGCACCGCTCAAGTGCCAGGTGGTCAGTTGCAGCCATTGAAGGTCCGGGTGGAGCAATGCCCCCTGGCTGAGCAGGTCCACAGGTTGAGGGACTCTCCATGGAGGGGTCACAGACAAAGATTTGAGGTTGGCGAACCAAGACCGTCGTGGCCAGTGTGTCGCTACAAGGATGATCTCTGCCCGCTCCTCTAGAATCTTCTGTACTACTCGTGGAATGAGTGGCAATGGGGGAAAGGTGTAAAGAAGCCCTTTCGGCCAAGGACAGCGAAGGGAGTCCATTCCCTCCACCCGAGGAGCTGGAAAGCAAGTGTAGAAGTGAGGGAGTTGAGCATTCTCTGGGGTAGCGAAGAGATCCACCTCTGGAGGGCCAAAAAGGCTCGACGGGTTCTGGAAGATCGACGGATGAATATGCCATTCCGCGTGGTCGATAGTTTGTCAGCTGAGCCAGTCCGCTTGTAAGTTGGCT